AGTTCAAGTCGAAATTTTGTCATTCAGTTTTTTTTCTAAATACCGTCTTATAGGCAGGCTGAAAATTCCGTAAAACGATCATCGTTCCGGAAGGAAGGCAATGGATCCTTATCCTTTTGGATTCTTTCTAGTCTCATCAAATCCCACTTATGGGCAAAATATTACTTCAAAAGTTTTTAATCACTTGAGATACCTCTCTCGAAAGTTATGGAAATATTTTTAAATAAAAAATGGATTGAGACTAATCATTGATCTATAAACTTCATTGTGTAAAAAATTCATTTCGATTAAGCAAGAAATAGAATAGAAAAAAAGTGATTACTGGACGAAAAGTAGCTCGAAAAATTGGTAATGCTGTATTTTGTGAATGTGTAAAACGAGTTAGGTCTGAAACTTTCATCAACTATTTTCCTATATGTCATTTCATCGTTGGTCACAGCGTCGAGTCGTATCCATGAACAGAAACGGTGCTAACAGTTTGTTAAAGAATCAGAAATCTACCCCGGAATCCTTAATTTTGCGAATAGAGAGAGAGACAGTTTTTAGTAAAACCAAGGTAATATTGAAATTCAGATCGTCGAGCAGCATCGAATCATAGATAAGTGTAAGTGTCTCTCGAAAACAAAAAAGTCAATTTTCTTGCCTGACAAGACTCTGAAAAACAATCTTTGCATATTTTATAAATGCACAAAACAATTCACGTTCGACTATTCTCAATCTTTCGCAAAATATCCTTCGATATCTGGCTCATCGTTAAACATGGCGCCACATTATACTGTTGAGCACAGTCGGTGCCGTGAGTCTCGCAAAAACTGAAGCTATGGCCTACAAATCACTATTTTTGAAAGAAGAGCATTCTTTTTGTTTCAAGCTAAGATGATATTAGAGATCATCTTATCGTACTGCATCTAACCATATATAATAAAAAGGGTTCTTTTTAAACTAGTTTTTTGACCTTCATATGCTAAAAACTGTCCGAAAAGTTGAGTTCGCGATTTTGTAAATAGTATCATCAGGTAACGTCCAATAGAACTTTAACTTTCAGAAAATGTCTGTCCACGTGAGATATAGTGCTGACTCTAGTATTCATTGAATATGATCATTCAAAGTGGGTTCAGTCATTAGCTCGAAAAAAAAACAGTTTTTTTTAACCCGTAGATCTCTTTTTGTTTGTCTTTGAAATAATGTCTTAATGCAATGTAATCAGCGTCTGAAAATACGTCAGATAATGTACGACAGATTATATTTTCTACGCAAGTGTTTTCCACACAAGCTTTTGTGGAAAATTTGTTTTTTTTTCTCTGGAAATAATTAAAAATTGTTCGGTGTAGACCATATATAGTATTATAATAAAACAAAATGAAATATCTCCACGTCGACTGAATAGAATAAACTTATGTTTTTGGTCAATAATACAACTATATTCGAAGTCTTTTTCTATATGGATAAGATAAGCAAAATACTATTATCAAATATTACTGTTGATATTATGAAAAGAATATTACCTGTTATCAAGTAAAAATATACATATGTAGTGTTTCATTGCTAATTTTTAGTAGTCATTCAAGAGAATAAGAAGAAGAGATCAAAACGATCTCTATTGAGGTACATAGAGCAAATTTTCAGAACAACTTAGTATAAAAGTTAATAGTTACAAACTTTCAAACATGGAACACTTGTTGTTCCTAATAGGCTACAATAATACGTTTTATTTATGGGATAAGAATTTTAGTATTTAAACTGACTGCTAATTTTGAAAACGTGTTCTGTGTACAAGAGTATAGTTCGTTTAAAATTTTTATTCTTTTCAATGGCAACTGAAAATTATCTATAAAAAGCTTCATTTTTATTTTTCTTACTTGGCAATAAGAAAATTTTCTTTAATGAGATCAAAAATATAACTTAATAGTAGTATTTGTTTTCATTATCCGTATGAAAAAAAAAATAAGCTTTTACCATCAACCAAAAAGATAATCCTTTTCGAATGAACTGAAGTAGAGATATTTCAAATTATTTTTTTATCAATGTTATTCATCCTTCATCTTGTATATATATCTCTATTTTACTTACGTATTCATACTACAATCTTTAAGACATTCAAGAATGCAGTCTTTATCACCAACTGTTCCTGAAGTAATTTGTTGCTATAAAAATAAAATCAATAGAAGTTATAATTAAAACAATAAAAAAAAAAAAAATTTTTCAATACAAACATCAATAAATTCTGGTTGAATCGTTGTTGAATGAATACCTTCTTTATGAAAAAAGTCTTTAACTTGTTCAGCTACAGCCATATATTCACTTAAATTATGACAACGAATATGTGCAGATGCTATTATTTTTGAACCACTCAATTGCCAAACATGAAATTCATGTACAGCTAAAACACCAGGTACCTATGAATAAATAAATTTTTCTTTTATCTGATATTATATTTGAGTAATAAGTACTTGTTCAACAAGACGTTTTTGTAAATCAGCAACTTCAATATGCATAGGAGCTGTTTGTAAAAGAACTAATGCTGCTTCACGTACTAAATTCAGAGAATATATATATATATATAAAATAATATTTATTATCTATAAATATGATTTACATAATGGAATTGTAAACATAACAATCATTGAAATCATAATTAAACTAGCTACAGGATCAATATAATTAACCCATACTTTATCGGGCCATTGTCGAATAGCTAAACCCGCTGCAACAACTATTACTGAACCAAGTGCATCACTAAGTACGTGAAGAAAAGCACCACGAATATTCATTTGACTACCATCCACTATCAATGAAAAAAGATTTCTATTGATTGTTTTTATCTTTTTTTTAAGAATTTCTTCTTACTTCCTTTCCGACTTTTCTTTTTCATGTTTTTATCAACTTCTTTTGTCTTATCATTATCTAATATTGCTGGTCCCGAATCATGTGAATGACCATGATTACCCATATTATCAATTGGTTCATCAGCACATAAATGTTCACCTTCACCTATTTCAACACTATCTTCATTTTTCTTACTATCTTGTTTATTTTTTGATTTATTATGATCACCTCCATGCGAATGTCCATGAGCCATATCACCTGAAAGCATAATATTGTTGTTAATTCAATTCAAAATAAAAAAAAAAAAAAAAAAACCTCCAAGTATCATTAATGCCATTATATTAATACCTAACCCAATAACACCAACAATAATATATAAATTTAATTTAGTTCGTTCAACAGGTTCTACTGTTATCAAACGTTTAATAGCTTGTACAAGAATAGTAAAACAAAGTGACATGAGTAATATACAATTAACCATAGCGCCTAATTCTTGTGCTCGTACCCAGCTAGATAGAAGAAAAAAAACTATTTTCTAACAATAAGCAGAATTCAATGTATCATACCCAAATGTGTTTTTAGCTGATTTCCGTTTTGAAATCTAAATGCAAAAGGAAATAAATAAACAAACAAACAAACAAAATTTGATCTAATTAAATAAGTTTAAAAACATACTCGTACGGACACCATTGCAATAATAAGTGCTCCACTATCACTCAGCATATGAATAGCATCAGCAAAAATAGCCACCGAATGAACAATATAACCACAAATAAGTTCAACAAAGAAAAATCCTATTGTAAGAACTAATACCGTTCCTAAACGACATGTTTTTGAAGCATGTAGAATAGATTTTCCTCCTTCATGAGAATGAGAATGTGTATGATGTGCCATCTAAAAATATATGTTTGTATTCAATCTCTGTCTCTCACTTTGGACGTGTTCAATGTCAAGAATCGAGGAAGAAGTTTTCGTTAAAATCTCCAGTACTCCTCTGATAGATATCTGATTCGAATTCTTATTAGTGAGCTATGTTAAAAAAATGATAGTTCAAGTTATACAATTGTCAATACAGAAATTAAAGTAAGATTCATGACTTTATGAAAAATTATCCATAAGTGGTTGAATCCGAATTTAGTTACCTTTTTGATGATTGTGATATCTGAAATCCCATTGTTTCAACAGAACTCAACAATAAGAATTTATAATCCAACATCTATCGAGGAACTAATAGAAGTTTTAACGAAAAATTTTTCCTCAATCCGACATTGGACATATCTATTCTCGAACTCGAGATTGAACGTAGACTATTTTTTTTTCACAATACGCACATCTTCACTTTGATTCTGTGCTGTTGGTATATGTATCGTGTATAAGAGCCTGGTCAAAATCTAAGTTTATACGCCCTAACATATATATGCGTCTCTAAATTTAGAACAAGTTCATTTTATTCACATTTATTACAGCGCCCTCACTCTTGCCAACGTGTTATATATGTGTGTGTAAATTACACCAATAAATTTAATGCGCGTAATTAAGGTAAGTATGTGTTCTATATTTTATTAGTTAAGAAGATAGCATTTAATGAATTGATCTTATCTATTAAAAAACTGTAATAGAAAGCAAAGTACATTAACACACTAGTTTTCTATTGGTTATGTTAAGTGAACCATATAAGAAAGTTTCGATTTCTTTATATATGAAATAGGATATATTTAAATAAATTTAATGGAAAGAATTTGAAAAATAAATGAAAAATGTATTAAAAATTTCAATATAAAAATAATTCTTTATGATTATGAATAAAGGTTTGTTGTCATGGATATCGATTAGGTCGTGTGATGGCGTTGACATCGGAGTAGAGAGTTGTAGGTTGTCCTGTCAAGTGGTCCATAAAAAGAAAAAGAATAGCGTTGATATTTTGTAATCTGAAAATCAGTACTTTTAAAAAATGAAAGCAAGTTTTTTTTTTAGAAATCAAACAATTGTTTGCAAATGGCTACATTCGATCGAATGATTATTGATGATCGTGATTTAGCAAATCGCTATTTTGGTGAGAATGATTTAGATGATTTTGATAATAATCAATATCTATTTTCAAAACCATCTACAAATAATCGACAACAATTTCATCTACAACCTTTAACAGAACAAGGTTCATCGAATAAAAATAATGATGATACTGGTTTATTTGGAAGAAGAGTTTATTTAGAATCACCTTCACTTGACAACAAAGATGAAGACGATATGTACAGGTAAGATATACAATTAAACCTATATTGACAAGAAAATATCTTTTTTCTTAGATATGTACCAAGTCGTTTAAGTGATCATCCATCATCCATTGTTGGCGCAAAGGTTCCAGCACCTACAGGTGAAACTCTTATAGATTCACTCGATTTTGAATTAGATCTTCTTGGGGCAACAAATACACGACATGCAATACCGTATCCAACAAATACGCAATTATTACAAGAACCAAAACCACCAATCCCATTGACACAGTTAAACAATACAGTAACACAATCTCCAATGGCAAATTTGCGAAGGTAAGTTCAATAATATAAAAATTTCTGAAGCTCACCGAACAGATATTCCAGAATAAATTGCACGAAATATTCTAATTGTTTTTGTCTCTCACAATCTTAAATGTAAAAAAACATTTATTTCCTATGCTAGAAGATAAAGAATTGTCAAACTCTAGAAGAATGTCTGCTTTGTTTTTTTTCAATTTGTCGTCCAATTTAAACCTTAACATCAACTGGATTTCTCAATTGCAACAGCAAAAAAATAACAAACGAACAAATGCTGAAGAATTTTAAATGAAGATTTCATCGAGATTTTACTTCTACTACAAAACTCTTTCATCTCTCAATACAATACTTGAAAGCTTCAGATGAAAGATTTAAGAGAAACAGTTGTCAAATAAAAGAAAAATGAAAACATCGAAAGAAAAAAAAAAAGCTTTTTTTCTGATACATTAACATTATTCATTTATTCAAAATAATAACATCAACATTTTTACTATTCAATTGAACACTTCCATTATTTTGTTCAAAATTAAATTCTACATTCAATACCATAATAATAAAGTCATTCATAGAATTTCAAAGTGTAATAAAAACTAATGACACAATTATCAATGTCGAATATATATATATATGTATATTTTGCCCAATAGTTTCATAGAAACCTTTAAAAGTTTATAGAAACAGAAAACAAAAATTCTGTATTTATTAATATTTAAATAATGTGTTTTTAGCATTTGCCTTGAAGAGTAAAGACTTACACCAATCATGCAATCGAACTACTAAATAGGAAATGACACTTGAATGATTGAGTAGACATAAATGTTTTAAGTTTGCCGACAACAAGGAACATTTATTTGAAACACAAAACCAACAATTTTTTAGAACTTAAAATTCTTTTTTTTTTTTTTTTAGAGTGCAGAAATGAGAAAAAAAAACGACAACAAGATTTAGTGTAGCTTATTCTAAGATACGTGTTACTATACGAGAAATAAAACAAAAAAAAAAAACGATGTCAAATTGCAACGATAAAAGCAAATTTTTTATGTGTTTTCTATTAATTAAAAGTGTATTAGTTTCATCTATGTATCAAATGTGAATGCAAGAAAAAATAATTAATTCTAACATTAGAATTTAATTTTTTATTAAAAATTATTTTTGTTGTCAAAGAATTAAAAGAGAACATTTATGATTTCTTTTTTTATATAAAATTAAAAAAAAAAAACTTAAATTCATTTACCATAAAATTTTAATGATCTTAAAATTATAACATGAAAAAGGATATATTTATTGCTACTCGTATTACTCGATCGATTATTCCTTGAACTGTCTTGATGAATAAGAGTTATGTTTTATAGAAAAAGAAAACGATAAATAAGATTACGAAATGATCTGTTTTTTTTTTTCGTTATAAGATATAATAACAAAGGATAATATGAATTATGTAACAGTTCCAATGAAATATCATTATCTATGATATTCCACTCAACTTTAATTTTGTTTTATCACGTAACATACTTCTTTCAAAACGAATATTTTTCTTTAACTTTAAAGTGTCTTGATATAATATGAAAACAAACCAATTTTAAGTATTTCTAAAGGCTTCTTAAGTAATTACTGAGATTGTACTCTTATCAAGTTCTATCGTATTTCATAGTTGATCTATATGAACATTATGAAGACAGCTTTAATTATAGAGCTGATCCTCGACAAGATCCACTTCTTGGTCCATTACTTGCTGAACTTGATGTAATGTCTACTCAACAACGTTTACCACAAACGCAACCATCACCACCGCCTCCTATCTATCGACGAAATTCAGTGCCTTATGAACCTAATGTTAGTCGATTACCTGGTCTATCGCAAACCAATCAGGGTAAGATTCTTCGTTCGATTATTGTTAAAAAAGAAATCTTTCTTCATATCCTGATTTTTCGTTTTTATTTTTTTGTTTGTTTGGTGACAAAAACTATTTTTATGCATCAATGAGAGACACTTAGCATTTCTATGTAGCCAGCGGCAAGGATATCAATTCATTGTCTATAACAAGGCATAGATTGTTTTCAAACTTAAACAATTTTCATTCATAATTTATCGTACATATTGTTATAGTTTGTAAATTATTGAAGCAAAAAGAAAAAGAGAAAGACTGAAGGTGAACAAGAAAACGAGAAAGAGAGAGAGAGAGAGAAAAAAGACGTCAAATAGTTTGATTGATTTTCTTCTCCTTCTCTCTTGTTTGTAAGTTTTCTTCTATTTGAAAGAAAAACAAATCGGAAAGAGAAGAGAGCAGTAAAATGGTATTAACGATAATTGTTCTTGTGTCATCGGTTGCTTATGATCGTCGTCATAAGAACAAGAAAACAAGAGAAAAAAAAAGAGAAGAAAACTAACGCACATAAACATTATTTGATGTAGTAGGTAACGAAGTGAACAGAACTTTTCTTTTTCGGTAAAACCTCGCCTGACATTTTCTTTTTTGCTAATATAAACGCCTTTCTAAATATATTTTTATTTTACAAAAAGAAGAGGACATTCTATTAAATTAGCTTCATTTTTTAGCTTCAACAACTACAGCAAATCGTACTGTTAATGATGCACTACTTGAAGCTGAACTTTACGATTCACTCGATCCCCGAAATCAACAAAATCCTCCTATTCATCAACGTCAGCCAATACCATTTTCTGCTCCAAATTTAAACTCATCAAATCAACCTCAACCTCAGCAACAACAACAACAACAACAACAAAGGCAATTACCACCTCGTTCATCAAATATGAATAGTACAGATATATTTCTGCCCTCATCCTATGATAATGGACCAGGATCATTTTTAAGTCATTTTGGTCCAGATGATCAATTATTTCAACAACCATTATTCAATGCTATTGGACAAAATTATGTACCGAATCCAAGACCACCACCTCCACCTCAACCACAACAACAACAGCAACAACAACCATATGAGCAACGAGATTCAACTTTTGATAATTCATATGCACGATTATCTCCACCACACCGTACAGCACATGTTCCATCTCAGCAACCTCCAAATAATAATAATAATCAATATCAACAACAACCACCACCACCACCACCTCCTTCAAATCGACAAACAGCCTATACGAATAATAATAATAATAATAATGATCCATTTAGTGACTATCAGGATATGTATGCCCCATCTCAATATCAACGTCCACCACCGACACAAAAACAACAATATCAAAGACCTCCATTACCTCCACAACAACAACAACAACAACAACAACAAAATTATGATGAACAAATCCTACGTTCATCTTATCCTTCAAATAATCAAGAAATGTTTTTTACTGATCATAATGATGATCAACTTGATCAACTTTCTTATCGACAACAACAACAAGCACCATCCTTGACAAATCAACGTAATGTTGATCAACAACAAGAACAAGATACAAAACGACAAGGTAAATTAAATTTTTCTTTTTTTTCTTTTTAAATCAAATTAATTTTATTTTTATAGCTATTTGGAATGATTTACAACGTACAAATGCTAAAGTTCAAGAAAAAAATGCAAAAAAACGTGAATCAGCTAATCGACGTGAACAATTATTAAAAGGTACATTTAATTCAAATAATGCATGGAATGGAAATGGTAGTCAGCAGTCTTCTGCTCAGTCAAAACAAGGTGGAAATTCACCGCCACAACGTCGTCCACCACCTATACCACCTGTTTCAAGAACAAATTATATCGAAGATAATATTGATATGATTAAAAATAAAGAAAATTTTTATCATCGGTATCCTGCTAAGAAATATGAAAATTTATATTCAAAACGAAAAGATCTTGGTGGTGGTGGAAAAAATGAACAAAATCAAAATCAAAATCAAAGTCAAAATCAAGAGTAAGTTAAAGAGAAAAAAAGGAGAACGGTACATAAGAAGCCATATCGGTCTACTACGTAGTACTTTTCTTGGTCAACTCCATTGAATCATATATCGACAGAAAGAACACACTGAAACCAACATTTTGATACTAGTTAGTTTCATAAAATTTTGATCATCATGTATTGGTCAACATTATGAGTGTATTTACTTATTTATATCATGAACTCTTATTGTTCAACAAGTATTTGGATTTACAAATTGAAGAAACCAAAGCGTTCTGATTGCTCATTTAATAGCTCTTTTGAAAGGATACAAAATTATATATTTTTTAAACTCAAACAAATTTTACTACTTGAAAAATTTGTTCGCACACTCTTGTTTAGGAGCAATTTTGTCTCTTTTTGATCATTATTGTAGAAGATTTTCATCAGAAAAAGTTCGATTTTAGTCAAAACTAATATTATGTTTGGAATCATCATAAAAAATTAAGTTGATCTATGAGCGATTTAAAGAATTTTTGTTACTTTTTTTTTATTAAAAGGATTCGCTCCTGGTTCATCTCAGGAACGAGACAAAAAATGAATTGCATCAAACTACAATTTAGACATAATAACGAAACCTGAAAAATTATTTAAAGTAATAAGATGCCAAAACGGTAGATATCTAGAAAATATGAGCAGAGTTTTCAAAGAAGTCATTTTTCATTTAGTCTCTGAGGGGGGGGGGGAGCAGGGGCGAATTTGTCGACGAAAAAAAAAGATTACAAAAATTCTATGAATCTCATGTAGATCAATTCAGTGTTTTATGTTGATTCCAAATGTCATATTAGTTTTGATTCGAATTGAACTTCTATCTGATCGAAGTCTTCTAAATATTGATCAAAAAGACACACAACTGAGCCTGGTGAATAGTGTGTTAAAGGTTTTTTTTTAAGTAGCTAAATGTTTTTGACTTCAGAAACTATGTAAATTTTGTAGCTTTCAAAAAGGGCTATTAATTGACCAATACGAGAATTTTGGTTACTTCAATTGTTAAATTAAAATAGTCCTTCAAAGATGAGAATCGATGATACATACAGTAAATATGTATAATAATGTCTACCTGTACATCGGATGTATATCTCGTTACATTAAACAATCAATAAATTATTTATACATGGGATTGAGAGTCCATCAAAGAACTATCAAATTCAAAGCACTTCGTTTTGTATATTTTTATTCATAAATTGAATGAAACGAATTAGTAGAATAATAGACCAAGAAAATGACTAGATTAGTAAGGTCAATTTGGCCACTAATGTTTCCATCTTTTTTTTTTCTGAAATAAAAATACAAAGACTTTGTCTTTCTTAGATCACAAAATGAGTTTGAGCAAACACAATCATCAACATTAATTAATAATTCTTCAACATATTCTAATACACAACAGCGTCCTAGTTTACCAGTAACAATCAATTTAAATCCAGGTGATAAATCACAAACTGGAAATCTTCCAGCATCAGTTACAATACCGCTCGGTTAATAATAGTCTATTGACTAAAATATTTTGTTATTTAAAAAATTTTTTTTTTTTTCTTAATAGATAGTCATGTTAGTCGTGTAGGCGATAAAATATCCGTAAATATTGATTTACGTCTTGTTGATTTACAAAACATTAAGCAACAACAACAACGAAATAGTGAGCATCCAGATTGGTCTGGTTTAGATCCATTAGATCGACATATACGAAAATTAGAGCGTAGTATTGATCAAGTAAGATAAATTTTTCAATCGTTTAATTTTAGTAGAGATTATTGAAAAGAATTCACTTCAGAAATCAAAACAGAGTTTAAAAAACCAGAAATTTATTGAATGTCGCTGGATTAATTGTTCTTGTCAGCGACGGCGGCAGCAGGTAGCTGCTTCAAAGCTTCTTTGGCTTATTTTTAATTTATTTTATTATATTTTTTGACATACTTATATCTAATATTCAATATCTTTCATTTTAGTCTTTACCACAAACAAATTCACCAACTGATCGAAGTCCAACATTAACAAATCCACCTGTTAATCCATCCATGGGTCGTTACGGTAAATACACAACAGGTGTTGGTCAAGGTGGATATAGTCCACCTAGTTATAGTAGTGATTATTATAGTTATAGTGATAAAGGACGAGAAGAAGGTAATTTATTAAAATTACTTATTGAAAATAAAATAAAATGATTATACTTTTGTTTTTTTTCTTTCTCTATTTTTTCAATAAAGATTCTTATTTGGCTAAAATGAATTTTGCGAAACAAGGACCACATTTTAAACCATATACTGGTCGTGATTATGAACAATTTAAAAAAAATAATGGTTTTGGTAGTGGTTATCTTGGTTTTGATTTTGATAATCCTAATTATAAAGAAAAAGTATATAAACTATTGTCTTAAAACTAAATATAATATAATCCAATTTTTCTTTTTGTTTTTAATTTAGACTGATAAATTAACCAAAACAAAAGAATATGCACAACAAGTTGAACTTCGTAATAAGAAAAAATTAGCTGAAGCTCCTCGTCGTACATTATCAGATACACGAATACCAAATGACGCATCAAAAACACAACGAGTAATTGATAATTATGAGCAGTTTCATAAAATATCTCTTATTTATTCTCGTTATATAGGCACTTGAATATGCTCGTGTATCAACTCGTCATAAACCACCATCAGGTACATCAACTCGTTCGACTCCACCTAATATGAATGGAGGTGCTCCTGGTCAGCAGCGTCGACCAACTGATGTTGCTCATCGTCCACCACCAACACAAAAACCATCAATAAAATTTGCACAAAATGATGATAATGAACTTGTTGAACGTTTAGCTATGCGTCATGAACGTGATAAAGCTCAAGTACAAGGTATTTTAAATCCATCACAAAAACGACGTGAACAACTTTTTGATGATGATGATCGTCGTGTAACTGATATTGAAAGATTAGCACAAGATCGAGCTAATCAAAGACGTTTATCACCACCTAGACAATTACCTCCAACAGGATTAGCAGCAAATGGTAATGCTCGACGACCATTAAGATTTGATAAACCACTTGTACCTGATGAATCAACATATCCTCCACAACAACAACAACAACAACAACAACAATATCGTCCTGTTCAACAGCAATCACAACAGCCTCAACCAACACATGTCGATGAATTAGCTAATCGACATCATGACGAAAAAATGCTTATGGAAGCAATTCGTCAAGAATTAAGTGAACGTCCATTAGGCGACGACGAAGAATTAATTGTTGTTGAACAATAAAAACTGATTTAGCTTTGTATGATAAAAGCCCTGTGATAATTTCATTTTAAGCTCTTATGCCCCTTCACAGTATCTTAAGAAATACTATTAATTACATAGAAATGTATTTCACTTCTTCTTCACGTTTGCTTCCAACAATCGTCTCAATTATTTTATGTATATATGTGGTCTTTCAAACATTGATATCTGTAAAGACCTCTATTTCGTTCTTATTCCAATAAGTCTTTAATATAGCTTCTTAAAATCAAAACAAATAATGACTTCTTCTTCTTCTTCTTCTTCTTGCGTGCCTATTTGTTGTTCTTTTGTTTTTCTTGTTTTTCACACGGTTGTTGACTTGACATGCAGCGCAGTATGATGGGGAATGTGCTTTGGATGTTATGAGAATGAATAATATGACTTCAAATACGAACTAAATTTGTTTTAGAATTCTTCGTTTTTTTTTTCTTATATTAAAGTAGAACTTAAGAAGAATTATACATTATATTAGCTTTCAATGAATGAAACAAAATGCACGAAGAAAATGAAAACAGCTGCACGGTTAGTTGGGCGACTGCCAGGCCAATGTTCTTGATCTGGATGGCACGTAGCCAAATCGTTCGTATATTGATCAGTTTTGATTAGTAATGGTATTATAAATTTAAAATATTTTAATGAATTTTTTTTGAAGTGCTCCGATTTCCATCGTTATATGCGAGTCTTATCGTACACGGTATTGTAGATGTATCAATTCACACTACACTATAATGTAGGGGCGTAACCAGAAAAAAGCTGTAGAGGGGGCTCAGCCCCCCCTCCCTCTTCCCAGTTATATTTCGAGAGATTGACAAAGACCAGCAGATAATCCGACCTTCGAAACTCTGGGAGAATCGCGTGAATATTTTTCGTGAGATAGTATGTGTTTAAAGTAGTAATATATCTCGTTCAGTGTTTCTTATGTGTATCGAATACAGTTCAATGTATATTATCCTATGAAGAAAGCATTAANAAAGTGATTGTTTTTCGCTCACACTCGGGGACCGCAAATGTGAGCAAAAAACGTCCACTTTTTCTATTTTTTTGACACTTTTTCATGCGTTTAAACGCGTTTTTGAAAATGTTTGTCTGCTTGGGTAAAAAGAAAGTCAATGAAATTAATAATGGCTCGGAAAATGAGTCAGAATCAAGTGTTTGATCTATGGAACTGGTCTTCATAGAGTTGTTAAACATATTGTATCTTATATTGCTTTAGTAAAAGAGATATTTAATCATAATTCGATTGATTTTTTAGATGTTCTAAAACATGATTGATTTTCGACAGTACCATATCCATGTAGTCTTTGAACTATGTTCCTAATACAATGTTAAAATGATATGTTTTCTTTCTAACTCGTATTCGATGATTAATAAAACTATTTTAATTGTGATTTCTATAGATAGAGACATTCTATTTGAAACAAAACTTTAATAAATACAAGAAGAAACTGTGAGAAAAAAATATAGTGCAACTTGTTTGAACGACTATTCATGATTTTTGTTTTCGATCGGTGTTTTGGGGAATTCTTTATACATGCTATATTATTTAATGATTATAACGGAAATAAAATTATCAAAAAAACTCAACTTTTGTATGAATAAATTAACTAAATATTTTATAGAAACATAAACGTAATTTTATGTAAAACAGATTTCAATACATTATTTACGCATGACTTTTTATTATCAATTATAATCATGCGTGAAATTTATATATTAAATAACAATATTGACAACTTGCGCGTGATGTTATATAGTTATCTATTCACTTATCTAACTTCCTCTTTTTTTTCTTTCAACATAAAAAATGTATATGTTTTATGAATGTACTGCAGGTTTATCAATCTTTTTTGTAGGACGAAGGATCTCGAAATGTTCTTATCTTAGTGAATATTTTTTTTTAAAAGTATGATATCTATGAGAACTTATATATGCACTCAAATAACATGAATATTTAATGATACTTAACTCAGGATCTATTTCAACAGCTGCTATTAAGCACAATCATGATGATTAATACTTAAGTAGTTACTAAATTTGTACATTAATTAATATCTACTGATGGAAAATAGTTTTCATTGTCATGAAGGAAAACATATTATTACTAAGGTCATAAATATATATATATATATATGTTTCCATTATTTATCTTGCCCATAGAATATATATCGAGGCAATCATGCATATAAGAATACTACGTCGGTATTAACTTATTTCTTTTCAAGTGTTATTAAGTACTAATAGATAATAATCTCATGATTTTGCTCTAATTATTTGCATATCAAAGAATATTTCGCACACATATAACTCCGTCATTAAAAGATCGATATTTATGAAATAACTTGTTTAGTTAACATAAGCATAATTATTGAATATGTAAAATTTTATAAAGCAATATAAATTGAATATTAATCAAACAATTTCTGTTTTCCATATATGGGTTTATTTGTACATAAAGTATAACTAGAGTCTCGCGATATATAAATAGATATAAAGTATGTACTAAAATTATTCAACAAGGTTTATTTTTAATTGGCTTTCGTTGTCAAAAGCGCTAGAAAGAATTCAAATTATGATTCGAATAGGAATATAAGGAAATAAAAATTATTATCAAGTTCGTAAAAATTAGGACACCAGAAAACTCTAAACGTTAGTTTTTTAGCACCTAGTACAAATAAATAGAACTTTGTTTAGACGGCATAAAGCGATAGAGCAAATGATTCTCTACAAAATGAGATATCTATGACATTTTCTAGCTGAAATATAGCAATCTTATTGTAGGTTAAAAAGTAGTTTTTGTTATAGGAAATTACTACAGCATGGCTTTAGGAGCTGCCGTAAGATTATTGTGTTTCAGCTAAAAAGTGTTATACAAAGCTCGAAAATATCTAATTTTGTAGAGAATTGGTTTTTTCTATCGTTTTATATAATCTAAACAAAATTATATTTATACATTTTAAGTGTTGAAAAACTAAGGCTTCCGGTTTTCTGGGGAACCTGTTTTTAGAAATTCGATAATAATTTATAATTTCTTGTCTCTTTTTGAAAATAGTTTTCACTATTTGAAATATTCCTAGCGTTTACGATAACGAAATAAATTGAAAATAAACTTCATTAAATAAATTCAATAATCATTTTATACATACATATATGTATGTAGATAAACAAACTCTCCATCTCACTACTTTATGTAAATGAAAACATTTGTTCATCTGTTTGTTCTTCGTTATTATCTTCAACTTCTTGATATTTTGGTGGATTTATTTGGTCAGTTGTTTTTGATTGAAGTAGTTTAAGGGAGGCATCATCTTCCATTTGTTCAGCAAGCATAGCTGGAGTAATACCATCGTCATTAGTTGCATTAACATCAGCACCATGTTCAAGTAATGCTTCTATAACAGGCATCTTATCACCAAAACCTTGAACAGCTAAGTGTAATGATGTATTACATGCATTATCACATGCATTGACATCAGCACCGGCATCAAGTAAAATATTACACATATTGATATAACCAAGTGCTGCAGCTAACATTAATGGAGTAGTGCCTGATTCTGGATTGAGTGCATTTATATCAACTTCATGATCAATTAATTTTCGAAGAAGACCTTCATTTTGAAAACGAACTAAATAATATATGAAAAAACAAAAAAGAAACTGTTTTTGTTTTTCGTTTTTTTACATACTACAACAAAGTAATGGTGTTTCATGAAATGATGGTGTTTGTGTTACATCAATACGATTGACAGTATCAGCTTGATAACGTACTTCATATAATGGATCTGAGCCAGCATTAAGTAAAATATCAGCTAATTCAGGCATTTTAGAATTTTCTTCAGAACGGAGTTTAGCCAAAAAAACAAGTGGATGATTGCCATCAAATGCATTTCCAACATTTGGATCACTGCCAAGTTCAAGAAGAGTCTTAACAACTTCTAATTCACCGAACTGAACGGCCAAACCTAATAATTAAACAATAAAAAAAGAAAAACCATTAAAATAATTATCTATAATTATCATACCTAATGCAGTATAGCCATCGGCATCAATTGCTTGTTGTAATAATCTCGGTCTTTCATCAGCTAATTGTCGTATTTTTGGTATATTTCCAGCCAAGATTGCATCACGAAATAATGTCATTTTATAAGGAATAAGATATGAAAATAATAATTTAGCTGAATGAAATGCCAATCGCCAAGACATTTTAGTTTTGTTATTTTAATTGTAGTGTCGATTGAAAGGCTAGACAAACACCTTGGTTAATTATAATATCGTTCTTGTGTTTTTATGTTGCGATTGACTGCGCATAAATATATACATATATATGTACATCAATGCTTTTTTTAAATCATGTCTTTGACACGGGTGATCTACTCCGTAGTTTTCTTCCTATCATTTTTTTCCCTTTCGTTCGTTCTTTTATTTGTTATTCGCATCTTTTCAACAATCATACACGTACATAAGCAAACACAACACAGAAACATAAAGGAAGAATATATTCGCAATCAATCACATTATATACAAAAAAAAAAAGAACAAAGATAAGAATGTAATCGTCTGTTTTTCTTACAGAATTTACAGTCATCATCAATGGAGAATATTCAAGGCAAAAAAAGACGGAATAAGCGAGTAGCATGTACAGCAAATATGGATTTTTGTATACTATATATAGCGGGCAACATAAACTTAGAGTAGTTATATTTTTGAATTTTCTTCTCGATGGTAATAGCTAGGAAGAGTTTGAAATAGCATTTGGGCAGCTAAAAGGATTGTATATCAGGGTTTGTAGACAAAAAAACTCTAATAAAACTGCTCGAATGAGGTTTTATGAAAAACCAAGACACCAAAAACTAGTTTTCTGCAGTCTGCTTGAAGCTTATTCGGATATTGTTTTATTTTATAGAGTGAAACAACACNACAGAAACATAAAGGAAGAATATATTCGCAATCAATCACATTATATACAAAAAAAAAAGAACAAAGATAAGAATGTAATCGTCTGTTTTTCTTACAGAATATACAGTCATCATCAATGGAGAATATTCAAGGGAAAAAAAGACGGAATAAGCGAGTAGCATGTACAGCAAATATGGATTTTTGTATACTATATATAGTGGGCAACATAAACTTAGAGTAGTTTTATTTTTGAGTTTTCTTCTCGATGGTAATAGCTAGGAAGAGTTTGAAATAGCATTTGGCCAGCTAAAAGGATTGTATATCAAGGTTTGTAGACAAAAAAACTCTAATAAAACTGCTCGAATGAGGTTTTATGAAAAACCAAGACACCAAAAACTAGTTTTCTGCAGTCTACTTGAAACTTATTCGGATATTGTTTTATTTGATAGAGTGAAACAACACGTCTTCAACCTGTCAATAATCTGCCTTCATCGAACTACATTCAATCTATAAAAGATTCAAGAAGTATGCTTGTTTTATTTTTATGAAAAATCTTGTTACAACAACCCCTAGGAGACTAAAATGTGGAACTCACATATCTTCTTAGGCATCATTTTATTAATACAAAATACTCAAAGTGAAAAATCTCTAGTACACTACAGTTGTTTTCCAAGGTAATCGAGTGCATCGTTATTTTTCATTTTTGTATTATGATTTTCTTAATTTAACATTCTTATCATAAATTAAATAGAAAACAAGATTGCTGTAAATATCCATTATATTTACAGCAGCAGTTCTTAACGTACTCTGTATATCTCGAACGACTCACAAAAACTGATATTGATTATTTTTTAAACTTATAACTTGATCAGTTCACGCTTTTCATTCTTGTCAAATGACAGCTGTAGCAAATCAACAGATCATTACCCATCATTGTTGACATTTTGAGTATAAATTTTTATCAGTACAAAAATCAAAAACTGCACTACGTAAAACACTCATAAACATATTCAAACAATGCAAATTTTGACGAACACTTTGGCATATTCTAGACCTCTGGGAAGAGATGATTGATAAGGTCTATAAAGGGGTCCTATACAAAATTTCAATCATTCCTACACATTGGAACCTTCTATAAATTAAATGTAGTTCAATGAACAAACGTCGTAGAGAGACGCTGGAAACGTCTCATGTCACTCTATCAAATAAAACCACTTCCAAAAAGTTTCAAGTGAATATTAAAAAAAAAAATTGGTTTTAATTTTTCACACATTCCTATTCAAGAAGTTTGATTGAAGTTTTCTTTTTTTTTTCAGATACTTCTTAGCGATTACTATCGAGAAGAAAATTGAAAAAATACAACTGCTCTACAGTTTTGTTCGTCATTATATAAATATGAGATTTTATTGGTTCCATAAACCTGCTTGACGAATAGTTTGTTGAAGAAGAAATTGTGCTTGTTGAATTTGATTTGTATTGCCTGTTATTGTTATTAATCGATCATTAGTACCATTCATTGGTTCAGAATCAATTTTAATAGAAGCGCCTGATTCATGACGAATTTGAGATATTTTCGAACCTTTACTACCAATAACAATACCTTTATCAAAAAAAGAATTAATTCACAAAAAAATAAAACAAAAAAAAAAAAAATCATATATTTTACCAGCCATTTCAGTTGGAATAGTCACTTGTGTAGTTGTTACTGGTTCAGGTTGTTGATATAATGAATTATAACCAGTAGAACGATTTTGATTTCTACCATAACCATCATCTAAATATGCTCCATCATATGGTGGATAACCTTGTGATGGTGAACCATAACTAAACATATAATATTAAAAAAAAATCAAATAAAAATCAAAGAAGAAATTTTCTTAGCTTACGAATTATTAACATATCCAGTAGCATTATTTACTCGTGAATTTAATTGATTATTACCCATTGAATTATCTGAATAACCACCATAATCTGTAACATTATGTCCATTATATGTTGATGGATCATAATAACGATATGATCCACGTGGTGGAACACTTTCAAGTACACTATAAACTTCAGTTAAACATCTTAAAACGTCATCTTTATTGCCACGCATTGAAATACCTTATGTAGAAGAAGAATTATTTAATTAAAAATTAAAAGTTTCTAATTTTCTTTTTACATCGTTCTGTTGATCCTCCAGGACAACATTGAGGATAGACTTTAACATCAATATTATCTAAATTGAAAAGCAATATTCGACCTTACTGATTATTGACTAACTCGAAAAACATATTCTACCTGTCCTGTGAACTCACGTTTCTCTCGAAATTCTTTGATTTTGGATGCTCCTTTGCCTAGAAAAAAAAAGAATTGTTTATTAAAATAATAACTTTTAATTTTTTTTTTTTCTTACCAATCAATGCTCCTGCTTGTGATTGATGAATAAGAGCACGTATTTCATTGTGATCAGGTTTATTTGAACGTTGATGATTTTCCGAAATACATGAAAGTATATCTGATATACAATTAAGTACATCATTTTGATCACCATTAATAATTAAAACACGTTCGGGTACTTCACAATCAGCCATTTGTATTTGACATTGATGTTTTAAACGAAGATCTTGAATAATTTTTCCACCTTTACCAATAATTGCTTTAAAACATAACAGAAAAAAAAAATAGTTTTATTTAATTTAAAAACAAAACAAATTTTTCTAACCTCCAGCATCACGAGATGGGATTAAAAAGCGATAATCCATTTTTCCATCACGCATTGGACGATGACGTCTTCCATCTTGATATTGAGGTCGTTTTGAATTCATTGAGTTATACTCAATATTATCGGTCATATTTTTAAATTTTATTATTTATCTTCTTTTAATAATCAATAGACATATGCAAGCATACACATACACATAGACACGTTCTCGCAATCACTCTTTTATCTATAATAACAAAAGATTTATCTAAAATCAATCAATTGAAAGGTGAATAAATGAAATTTTCTTATTCGTTTATAAGTAAATCCAACTATAAATAAAATAATTATTTAATAAACAAAAAAAACAATATTCTGGTGCAAAAGCTAATTGATGCTTTACATGTGTATCGAATAATGTTCTGTTGTTTTATTGACAAAATCATTGTCACAATAGATGTCGCTGGGTGATAGAATCAGATAAAATAACTGCATATATATATACTTGTGTGATTGAAGCCGCAAACTACCGGTAAACCGATCGTACAACTGAAGGGTTTACCACCGATTTTCTGCAGTAATACGTTTTGAATCTATGAAATCGACAAGAGAAAAAAAGCGAAACTTCCGTCGTACTTCGAAGTACTGAAGTCTCACTTTTTTTCACATCAGAAATGAACAATCATTAAATGTTATAAGAGGAAGTCATGCTCATATTTATTAGCATAAATCAGATTTTCTAAATGTTAGTCAAGTTGAAGTTAATGAAAAAGATTTATCATTAGAAGTAGTATTTGATAATGTGATATAACGTTTAAAAATGGTAAGAATTATCTTTTCATGTTTATTGCATAGTTTATTAGAATATGTTTCAGGTGTATTGATATTTAATTTGCTTTTTAATTCTATATCGTCTAATTGGTTGTATAGGAAATAACTTTGAAGATTTCGTTATTGAGTTCTTGATGAATATGTTTAGTGTTTACTTTTGAAAAGCTTTTTTCTTCATTTTTAGATTTATGTTGACGAATGAAAAAAGGATTTTTATGTAACATTAACTTTCAAAATAAAAAAAACAGGGTTAGTCTTTTTAAATCTATCAATAATGTTAAATAATCAAGAATAAGAAACTTCAATACCAATGAATGATTTCTTTCGAAGTTTTTTTTATTAGTATAAGACAAATAAATTATTTTTGTCAATTTATCAATTAATTTCTAAGATTCACGAGATATCAGTAAATTTTTATAAATTCTTATTGATTCAAAATAACTACAAATTAGAGTTGTGAACATCTATTCTTATCCAAATTTTCGAATTCCAAAGTTTTATTTTAGTTCATGAACAATTCCAGAGACAAAAGAAGAAATTGCAGCATTATTTTGAAGTTCTAACCATTCCAATGATTGTTTCGATCCTTTAAAACAAGCATCAATATGCTTATTCTTTTCCACGTTTCGCAACAATGTTTACTGTTAAATCAATTGCGACGCATACATTTTTGAATTCAAACTTATCTTCTCTTGTTTCTCAACTGTCAATGATACTACCGAAATAACTTTTTCTTTCATTTATTTGTAATTTTTTTCTCTCATGTTAAATAATTATTTCAAAGACATATTCATTAATGTTTGAATAAACAAACCACTCAGCCGTAAAATTCTTTTTTTTTAAAACAAATAAAGCAAAGTCATCATTTTTAATATATCTAGTAGTCTTGTCATCGATTAAATGAATCATTTCTGTGTGTAGTTAAATTACTCTTTCTGTTCCAAATGTATTAGTAATGCAACTAGACTATGAAGTAAGGGTTACCTCAAAAGAAAAAGAAATCAGTACTGCCTTTTCATAAAAAAATTTATATTGATTATTCATTTTCTGTTTCGTTTATATTTAAAGCATTTTTGCCTATAAAATAAAACAAACGAAAATGATTCAGAAATTATTGTTATTATTGCCAGCAGGCTTTTGTCAATGGAATTACATGCGGTGAGTGTCATACGTTACTTTCAACAAAATTTAACAAACATTCGGTTTTTTTCCTCTTTTTTCTTTTTTGTTATTTTGCTCTTGTGCATAGCTCGATGTGATTACAAATGCCTTTGTCAACTGCAAAATCTTGCGACAACAACACGCAGTCTACGATTCTCTGTTCGCTATCCGCTGCAGGCTACCACACGTTTATACCACAAAGTGTCGAAACCACCAAACAAACAGTCTGCGAAACCTCATGATTTCGATGCAGCTACATACACCGAATCCAGAACTTTATGGTCATCCTCTCACCACACTCAGCCCTAGACATAGTTCGAAGGAAGCAAATTTTGCGACAATTTAACCATAGTATTATTATTTTATATAAGAAGATCTTTTATTTGTACAAGCGAAAGGTTCTAACAAGTCTATTTGCCGTAGATTCAACTGATTCATGGCAGGTTGTAACTTTGTTCAGTTTGCTTGCCTTATATTTTTTTCGGATGTGATTTGTTGCGACCTATAGGTATTTTATATACTTATATCATGATGACGTGAATTTGAGTCTTCTCTTCAATCACACTAGTACACCCATACCCACACTTGTATTATATATCTTAATATAAGTGAAATTTCACTTGGGATAATGAGAACAAATGTAAAGAATTTTGAAAAGCATCGATAGACATTCCTCTAGCTCCCTAGTACAAGTTTCATAGCTGGAAACAGAGATTTGGTATACATTTTTTATTTTTTTATTTTTTTTTCCCTATATTTATGCTTATCTTTCTCTACATTTATGCTTATCTTACTCTATATCTATGCCTATCATCATCTATATTTATAGTTTCTGTTATGATGTACAGAGTTTTATAACAATTTGTTGCCTATAATATCATGTTCTTAGTAGTAGAATCAAAAATGTAGATCGGATATAAAAGATGGTGAATTTTTTCTAGTTGAAGATTGCTATAAAATTGAGTTTTGATCTCAACTTTTTGTCCGATCCAAGTTTTGGGCTAATTAAAACTCGGATCTTACATTAGCCTGAATTTTACATTGAATGCCGACGTAATGGAATATCTCATAGAATGAAAAGAAAATTCCACAGGACGAAAAGAATGTATCTAGTGAGTAATTAGAAATATAAAGACAGAGAAATTCCAACATACGCCAAAATAAAGATAAGGAAAATTACAAGATTTATGTGTTACTACATCACATAAATAATATGGAGAAGATTTTAGACAATTAGTGACAACTATTAATCAGTTTCTATGTTATAGTTATAATGTGGAGTTTTCAAGATATATTTTTTTTTTAGTTCTCACAAATCTTTTATGTTAATGAAAAAAATATTATCATTATCAAAAATCATTTTATTATTTTATTTAACTGTAAAACCGCATTGGTTTACAGTACCACTGAAAAATCCCACGGTTTAATAGTACATAAGCAAAACTCCGTACACCGGTGGTATCTTTAAGAAAGTGTCCATGTGAGTAAAGATCAATATTGTTTTTGATTACTTGAGATTACTTGTTTTTATGTATAAAATGACACTAAACTACACGATAGTAATATATTTGGTTCGCGAGATGATTCATTCTATAGAATACACATGAAACGGACCATGAAATAGCAATGTATGTAGGGCACGAAGTATATATATATCTATACTGTAGAAGAGAAAGAAACAGAGTGCGGGAAAACGATTAAAAAGCAAATTATTAATAATCTGAACTGCGTCGTTCCACTGACTTCGGTAATATTCTGTAATATATTTCTCATTGCATAGATAATGGTTTTAATGATTCTAGAATTCAAATAGGTATGTTCTTTAAATATTTTTTTGTTTACAGGTTTATTTTTAAAGTTATTCTTTCTATTATTAATTGATAAGAAAATTAGTCTGATAATGGAAGATATTTTATTTGCTCGAAATGTATGCAACACAATTTTTTCTGCGTAAAAAAACAAGAAAAAAAATTATTCAATGGTCTTTTGATAAAGTATACGAAGAAAATTTATTCTTTCGTTATTGAGTGTCTCGAAAACAATCTAAACCTTTAAAAGTCCTTGGAGCATCTGTATTTTTGTATTTTTGGAAATAAAGAAGAGGAAAAGTTAAATATTTGGGATGGTCGATGAAGCATGTAAATACTTTTTAAAAATCGAGTTGTCATTTATTGGACCATCATTGTTAAGGAGTATGACAAAAAAAATGTTTTGTTGTTATAAATGCATTGTATATTACGGATAATAATCATCATCTAATGATGAAGGTCATTTATATCATCAGCAGTCCTTTTTCTTTTTTTTTTTTTTCACTTGTTTTTCTTTTCTTTTCATTTCGTTTTATGCACATCTATTGCAGTTACTATTTTATGGTTACATGCTTCTTTTTTTTTTCTATTAACATGATTTCACATTTTCCCTCGCCTATGCTTGCCTGACTGCTTGTGCAGCTGAGAACACGAAAAAAGCAAATACACGCCGTCGTTTAAGTGTGCGAAGGATAAAAAAACCGCATGTTTGCTTCATTCGTAGGAAAGCAAAGAACGTTGATGATTGTGTCCCTGAAAACACAACACATATGAATACTCTTATATGTAGTTGAGAATAAGAACAACAACTATAAGTAAGTAGAAGAACGTCTTTGTCCTATATAAGTCAAAAAGAAACATCTTGGAATTGGCACACGTCAATTATTAATCATCCATATTAGATAAAAGACAAGAAAAATAGCATTTTTATATGCATACATGGTATCCTACCAATCAAATTACTATTTTCGTAAGAGATTTGATTTTTTGAAAGCCATTGAAGTAATAAAAAAAAAAAATACAAATCAATATTTTTGTTTTGGCTTTTACTCATCGTAAGCTCTCATATTGCAATAGTTATTATTTTCGACACACGATAAAGCAATGATGGTATTGTATATGATGATAAAGCGAAGGCGAAAGACTATTAAAAAGAATACCGCATGTGACCTTATTATATTGTATATACTTCAGCTAAGCAATACGGGAGATCGACATTAGAATATTTTGTATGCGAATCAGCAAGCATACAAATGTCTCTTTATTCTCTCTATGAATATCTAACGTAGCAAGGGTAGTTTGCGCTTTTTTTGTATTTCATTGATGCAGATGCATACGTTTGCGTCAGCTGCTATCAGTGTATAGTTTGTGGTAAACATTTTCTTTTGTAAGATTAGTTTTAGATAATGCATCGTCTTATGTATTGCGTTTTTGTCTTTTTCCTTATATCAATTACTCATCTTGGATTCTGTTCCGAAATAACTGTTGATAATTCAAAACCTGAGGAAAATAATAATATTGATGCGGAGGATAACTCTGATACAATTTTAACAACAACAACAATAATAACAGATCCAATTGTTGAAGATATTGTTGAAAATATTGTTGAAAATATTGTTGAAAATATTGTTGAAAATGTTACAGAATCAACAACTGTAATTACAACTACAACGATAATTGATGAAAAACAAGTGAAGAAATTTCTAACTGAGGTACGTAAAGATTTAAGATTTTTATTAGTATTAACGAGTATATTAGTATTGAGAGTCATAAAATGAATTATTCACTGTGAGAAGAACTATTGACTATTAAAAATAAATTGAGTAACTGTACGAAAAGCAATTGGTATTCGAGTTTAGTTAAGTACGTAATTATGATAGTATCTACATGTCCATATGTATCAAAAACTTGATGATTTTTCATTAAACAAATGAGTTCCTTTTCATATATTCTTATCGTGCGAAAAAGAAAAAAGCAAAAGTAACCTTTTTGTTTTTTTTTTAGTATTCAATAAATGTCAATTTATCGTCATTATCATTATCTGATACGATATTTAATAGTCATTTAAATGATTTAATTATTCTTGTTTTTGAGCCACATGAAACTTTAATAATTAGTAAAACTGATGGAACAGTTAAAAATTATTTTAATTATGCACACATTATACCAATTAATCAACAAATAAAACAATCGAATGTAAATATTCAATTAATATATACATATAAAATTAGATTTAGTATTTTTTTTTAATAGTTTTTCATTATTTTTGATGATAATGCTCAAGAACTTTGGATATATAATTCTACTCATCAACAAAACTCAATAATAATATTTAAACCAAAACAAATTTATATTTTTGCAGATGACTCGTGGATTGCTGAAACATCTGATGAAGCTGGCGTAAGAATTTCTTTCTTATTTTATTAAATTAAACTTATTTGTTCATATTATTTTCAAATAATAGTTATATATCAGTCAAAACTCAGGTATTGATTGGAAACAAATCGATCAAAGTAGTAGTTCGTCAATACTTGGCTGGTATGTTTTCGTTTCATGAACATCTACAAATAAATTCATTGATTTCAATTTTTATTTAGGTCAAACAAAGCACAAGCTGTTGTTATCATTCAACATTCACGTTATATAAAATTACTTGATATAATAACAAATAAAATAACACCTATTTTAAATGATGTATCATCAACGAAACTTTTTTCACGTTATTTACTTACAAAACAAGCCAATGTAAAATAGAATTTTATTTTATAAATTGTAAATCAAAGATTTTTATTTAGAATGCCATTGTTATCAGTCATGTGAATAATTTAGCTGATGAAGGCTTTCGATCGTTACCTAAACGATTACAATCACAAGGAAACGTATGAATAATTTTTTGTTTGTATTTCTTTAACTACTTACGAGAACATTACTAGAGGGAAATATCAGAGACTTCAGTCTCGAAGTCTATTGTTTTCTTCTCGAGAAATCGTCTGAAGTGATTTATGAGTTTTATATTCATGTTTTTGAATTTCAAGGTTAGAATAAGCGTAAAAGAATTTAAGTTTCTAGACCTTTTGTGCACATTTACGATCGTTTTTGCTGGATTTTTTACCATAGAATGGACTATGGAAAGAAAAATAGAAAAGAAGAATATCTGTAAGTTGCGTGTGATTGTTAAAGTTTCAGTCATGGTGATTATTTCCTTATTGAAAAATTCAATGTTTAAAAACTAATTAGATTTTGAAAACGATCCAAAAATTCTGAAGTTTTTGAATGTTAAATATTTCGAGAAAGATGTAATTGTTATAAGTGAAACTTTTAGAATCACATTCAACTTGTTGATACACTTCTTTTGAATTTTTCTCTCCATTGTCAATCCCAGAGTTGTAATCTGACTAGTTTTTATTGATTGTAAAATATTTGATAGATATTGAGTGTAAGTTTCCTTGCTTTTATTCAAATAACTAAACAGTATTATATTGTCCTGTTCTATTTCATTAATCGAAATATATTTCATTTCTTCGAAAAGCACAATCAATAGAGCATTACCTGAGCGAAACTTTTTTAGTAACGATCAAATATAGTTTACATTGTCCTTCGAAGAGAAATCTTAGGTTTGTCTGAAATGGATGAGTAAGAAAATTCCAGATTTGAAGTTTAGCAATCAGTTGATGCGTAAATGACTCTTTCGCAATATATATATATAACAATACTACATATTCATGTTTGAGAAACCAAACAGATATAAACAATTATAAAATAATATTTCTTCCTGAAGATTTCTAAAAATCTGTCTGCAAAAAGTTTTTTAAAGCGAGATCATATTAACCTATTAATATGATCCAATGAACTGGCCGGTTACAACTCTGATCCATTGTTTGGTAAAAAATTCAACAAAACTATCGTAATTCTGTAACAAAAGTCTATAGACGGTGAATCTTTTGGATTGATTCTAACCTCAATATTCTCTCTATGAGCCCAAAATATTCGCTCAAAACTCGTGAATCATATGAAATAGTTTCTATATAATTTACTTCTGGTTTTAGCTTTATTGCGCTATTGAAGACGTCAATACTCAAGATTTATTACTTTTATTTGTTACTGATAACAGATTAGAAGAAAATAATGAAACAATTTTATCAACATGTAATCTTGTTAGTTATTCAAAACAAAGTTTATTCAATTTACCGAATATTAATTGTGAATCAATAAATAGTAATAATGCCTTAAACACAATTGAGTAAATTTCATGTATATTTAATAATAGTTTGAAAAAAAAAGAATTTCAATCTTGTAGATGTTCAACTGAACAAATACCATTTTATCAAGTACGTGGTTTATCAAAAAATGTTTTCTTAGCAAATGTTGCATCAGAAGCAACTGCAGTGGTTTCATTTGATGATGGACTCACTTGGAATAAAACACGTTATGAATGTGAGAAGGTATTTAGATAAAAGTTTGTTGTGTTTTTAAAGTACATATTAAATATTAGATGATGAATTGTCCAAGCAATGTCTCAGTTGTAATAAAGTCATTGAGTTCCTCGAATGGTGCGCCTGGAATCGTTGTAGGAAAAGGTAAAATGAATGTAATTTGAAAGATAACATATATATTTTATCATTTGTTTAAAGCTTCTGATGGTGTAAATGAATATGTAGCAATATCATCGAATGGTGGACGATTATGGCGCTTAGTAAATTATCTTTGATAAATTTTCTAAAGCAATCTATTCGCAATTTTTCGTAGAGTTCCAAAGGCAATAGCTATTTAACAGCTGTATCAAATCCAAATGCTCTTATAGTCACTATACCAAATCATAATCAACAATCTATGAATCATGAATATCGGTAAGAAGAATATCCTTATAAAAAATTCTAACATGCTTTATCTGTTTTTTTTTTCTGACTATTTGTAAAGCTATTCAACTGATTATGGTCGTAGTTGGCATTCAGAAACATTTTCAAATGAAACGTCCTTTAAAATCTTGTCTCTTATTGCCAATGATAATAATATTTTTTATATTTTAACATTAAACAATGAAAATCTACTCAATTTAATCCAGCTTGATTTTAATCTTCTTACTGGTAAGTAATAAATAATTTAAATATGATCAACAATAAGAAAAAAAAAAATTTTAGTTAAAGAATGTGCTCGTCATCAATTAAAAGAATGGTCATTACATGGTGCATGTATAAATGGTTCAAAATTATTTTATCAACGACGTGTATCTGGTTCACATTGTCTTGATGATACATCGAAAGTTCGAGTTGAACCATGTGCATGTTCATTATCCGATTTTGAATGTTTACCAGGTTATAAACGTTCAAAAGATGGAATATGTTTACCAAGATCTCATTATATCTTTACACAAGATTGTACTTGTAATGATAATAGTACTATTTTAACAAAACAACGTGGATATGTTAAATCATTGAATAGTCAATGTGCTAATGGAATTGAAAATTATCTTTCTGATGCTCATGTAACACGTCGTGATCCAAATCATCCAAATTTTTTTGTTTATGGTATTAATCCACGTACAAAACATGCTATTGTTGAAATACATACAAATGATTTTGATGATACTGTTGATGATGATGATGATGATGATGACGATGAAGATAGTGAAGCTATAATACAAAATACAACATGGTTTGTTGATGAAACATATCAAATAACATCACTTGTTTTTGATCAAAATGGTCAACAAGTTTATATGGCTGTTGAACACAATGAATTTTCAATTATTTATAGTATTGGAGTAAGTAAAAATTATTTCAATTGAATAAATTTGTTTGTTTGTTTTTTTTTTTTTGTTATAGAAAAATCTTCGTCAACAAAATCGTGATACTAAAAAATTAATATTTGATTCAAATAATGAATTATATAAAAGTACAGATGAACATATTGAATATTTAGCTCTTGATAGCTTGGCACAAAATTTATATGTTCTTATTCGAAATAAACAAACTCAACAACAAACAATATTTATACTTGATATTCGTACACATAAACGACGTACAATTGTTAAAAATCAACATATACAACCATCGATAATTCTTGTTGATCCAGTTAAAACAAATCTTTATTGGATTTCACATAATTCACCATTAACATTGAATATAGGAAATCTTCAAGGACAAATTAAAAAACATATACATTTATTATCAACAGATTCAAATATCAGTTATATATCGTATGATCCAATAACACATGAAATTATTTTTGTTGTTAATTCAATTATTTATGGATTCAATACACTCGATTATCGTCATCATTCATCAAGAATTATTTATGAACATTCATCAGTTATACAAAATCCTTTATTTATACATCCAATTCTTTATTTTACACATCAAAATAATGATACAGATTCATCAATGATTTATTTACAATCTATTGATATACTAGCGAAAAGTTTTGCTAAAAGAATAGCTAAGTTTAAAAGTTTTAATTCATTAAAATTATTTATTGATATGGCTCCGATTATGCCAACAAGTTCAGGTATTTATCAAATAATTATTATTTTTTTATTTAATAGTCTAGGCATATATGATTTTATGTATAGCAACAATAATTAATCGTTGTACAAATAATCCTTGCTCTGACTTATGTATTCCACTTGAACATGGACGATTCCGTTGTGTATGTAGCGATGATGCACGGTAAGAAGAATAAAGACCGAATCTGTAAATAATACGGTTTCGAAATTCAACTCAGAGAAGAAATCATTAGATACATTAAAATTAGGATTTTTAATCTGGATTTTATCCCAATATACATGTTACACGTATAGGCGTTATGAAATATTCTAAGCATCAGATACATATATTTAGCTTAGCATAGTTTAGAGATGTGTACCGCCTGCTCTCTAACGGAAAGTATGAATCATTTTTGGACGAACGTGTCTTAATCATATCAGTTGTTCACTTCTATTGTTAGAAATTTTTTTAAATAGTATATAGATTAATCGCTGTAAAGTTATGAGGAAGGATTTAATTGTTGACAGACTCATTTTTTCTGTGATACCGTTTCATTTATTATCAAATGTCAAACTTATTTGTTAAATTTATAAATTAAATCACTGCCAATATGGATTACCAATTATCCTAATCATAAAGTGATCTAACTCAAAACTCCGTGAATTTCATTGTGACCAGCATTATAGTTAAATAAGTCATTTTAAACTTGAATTTATGCAAATTTAACTTCACAATAAGTTAACAGGAAACGAACACCCTAACAGTATATGCATATAGTGTCCCGTGATATCTTGCCTAATTGAAAATTCTTTCGTGGGATGTTCAACTTGATGTTCTTATTCTTATGGCAGTATATCAAAAATAATATAGAGCTACAAATATGAGGGAAAAATTGGCGAAAAAAAGAGCTTTTTCAGTTATTGTTATTTGTGGCCACTTCACACTTTTCGAATAGCAATGGCGCGGAACAGGTACACCGTTGGTCAAGAAGACTCTCGGTGATGACCGTCATCGCCTCACTTTTTAGACACGTTGCACATTTCTGATTTAGTTTGTCATCATCAATTGCATGAAACTTATAATACTCCAAAGTCTAGCATAGGCTGTCTTACATTGAGTTATCAATCAACTAGACTTACTGATAGACACTTTCAACAGTTGTATCTCAAAAAACAAATATACAAACTCCTCAGAAAACTTGTGTTGTATATACACACACTAGTCGAAGAAAGAAGACTGATTCATGCTATATATGTAAAGATTATGATTTAGGTCTTGATGTTGTTGGTTCTTTCGAAGAATTTCATATTTCATTACATTTTTAGAGTTTTTTTTTGCATTAATTTTCCCTTTCATATCTTCTTGTTCTTCTAAAAATCAAAAAAAAATTATTCATAAAGTATTAATTATAATTAGTTAAACTGGTTTCTTATCGATCTTCCGATTCGAAGAGATTAATATTGATAATCAATTTAAAATGTAGTGAAATCGATCTGTTAAATGTTTTTCAAAATTTTTGTTTTTCACTTAGAAGAAAACATAAATTGATACTTGATCTTGGATGAAAATGAAGAAATATTTTTGATGATGATAAGATTTCTTTATATGAACATCTTGAATTTTTCACGAATGATATTATATAATACTTGTGATACAACAAAAATGTCTTATAAAATTTCACCATTCTTTACTTGAAATCATAATATTAAAGTTTCGATGCAAGTTGTTTGTATCTGTGTTAAAAGTGTAAGAAAATCATTCACTTTTGATTGTAAATGAGTATAAACAGAAGGTACTCATTCATATCCTCTTCTCATCGTCCTGACCTACATTCAAAAGCGAAAATTTTCCTTACGCATTTAAAACAAAGATGAACAGCTTGTATCAAAATTTTAATATTATTATATCAATTGAAGAATGGTGAAATCTTATAGAATTATAGAGTACTATTAGAGCTATCCGAGTGTAAAGAGAGAAAATTATCACGAGCTGTGTATAAGATATTATAAATTAGTGCCGACACCACTATGTCTATATACTCTAAATAGTTTGTCTATTAATAGTCAATAAATTCTTTTTTTATAAATAGTTATCAAACATGTTCATGTCCAAGTGATGAACGATTTATCGCAGGTGGTTGTCAAGCTAGTAAGTGTGAAATTTAAATTTCTTTTTTGAAACACAAAAGAACTTTTGTTTTTATTTTTAGAAAATAATCAATGTGCACCTGGCCGTATTCTATGTCAAAATCGTTTAAATTGTGCTGAATCAGCTCGTATTTGTGAACAAGATCATACACAATATACTGAATCATTTAAAACTACAGCACGTTGTACACTTGATAAACCTGATGATGGTTTTGATTGTTATTATACTGGTAGTGAATTAAATAATGCAAATACTACATGTATTCCATTTGAATGGCTTTGTGATGGTGTTTATGATTGTCCATTGGGTAATGATGAAGAACATTGCCATAAAATAACAACAACAGCCAGACCAGTAACAAGAGTACCAGGTCGATGTTTAACTGAAAGACAATGTAAGTTAAGACAAGATAAATTTTGTTTTGTTTTTCATTCAGGGCCCACGATGTGGCGGGGGATGACGGGAGCTAGCCCCCGCCACTTTTGCAGTGTGTCTGCGAAAATTTTTAATACTGTCTGGCAAAAATGTGTAATATTGTCTGCGAAATTAAATTTTATAGCTGCAGTCGACTGATCACGTGATAATATTAGCGTTGGAAAATTTTTTTTAGACAATTTTTCTGAAGATTTTATTTAGTTCTGGAGGGGAGTAGGGGTTTCTTCGTCACGCTACCCCCCGCCCCCCCCCCCGTCTCCCGGTTATCACTTTTTACGAAAAATAAGTGACTGTCTGCTAAGTCTATTGAAATGTCTGGCAAAACAAAAAAAATTTTAGCCCCCGTCAGTCTCAAAAACAATCGAGAACCTTGTTTTCATTATATTTTTCTTTCTAGTTACTCATATTATGTGTGGTGATAGATGCATGAGAATTAAGGATGTTTGTCGAAATGTATCCAATGCATTATTATGTTCAAACCAATTTCATCTTAATTGTAAACAAACACATGAAAGAAATGAAGTAATTATTAAATAAATAATATTTAGAAAAGAAAAAAAAAACGGATATTTTAAAATTATTTTTAGTATGTTTGTAAATGTTATGATAAAAGCCGTTGTATTGCAATGACTGAAAATTGTGATGATTATGAAAGTTGTGAACAAATTTGTCGGGATTCAATTCATTATGGTATATTAAAAATTCTTTTATTATTAAATAAATAAAACCAATATTTAATTTTTTATTATAGCTAATTCAAAATCGAACAAACTCGATACACCGTCATCAACAATATGGATAGCACTTGTTGTTGTCATTCTTATTATTCTTCTTATTGCTATCATTTTTATGACTGTTCGTTATATGCGTCAAAAAGATGCAAGAAAAGCTTCAGCACAATCACGTATATTGAGAGAAAAAAAAAAGAACAAAATAATTAAGTATTTTTTTTTTCATTTGATTTCAGGTACACCAGCTGCACCGGTGGTAACAACAACTAATTCTTCACCGAGTGATGCTCATCAACAACTTCTCAAACAAGGTACTAACGCAGCCAATGAAACAAGTTAAACTATAATCTTTTTACTTCCGTTTAATATATATAATTAGCTTTGAATTTCCTTTTTTTTGTCTTCTTACATTCAAATCTTTTCCTCGTTCAATGTATCTTGTCCATCTGTCTTAAACCGGTGCAACGCATCAGTCAATTGTCTTTCTTGCTTTCTTTCTTTCTCTCTCTCTCTCTCTTGCTCTCTCTCGTTTTTTTAATATTTCCATATGTGTTAAAGCACTGTGCAACAATTTGAAGGTTATGATCATGAAATTTCTTTCATTTCCCTCGGTATTCATTTATGTGTGTTTGGGGTTTTTGTCTATTAGGTAAAGAAACAAAAAAACAAGTAAGCAGAAATAGAAATATTATTAAATTTAATCCTATTATTATGAAAACATTGATATAATAATTCATCATTTATATGTTTCTTTTTTTGTTTCTTTCGTTTAACCTATGAAACACAAAGAAAATTTAAGTAGTACACAGATCTGCAGTTTTGTCTTCATGATACTTCGTAACAGATATAGAAATAAAAAGCACGAACAAAATAAAAAGAAAGAAAACGGATGAGAAAAGAAAAAACGAAGTGACACACATATAGAAATCGAAATTTTAAAATTTTTTTTGTACTTTTTTTCTCGTTGTTTTTAACAGAAAAACATACAGCGTGCACAAGCGCAAGAATAGATATACTTTTAAATAAGTAAAAACAAAAATATATACGAATCATTGCGCCATTTTCTTTTTGGCTTTGTCGTCTCGCAACCTATTTCGAAAGAATAGTATGTACAAAAACAAAGAACAAAAACGACAGAGACATCAAGAAACTGAATAATCAAAAAAAAACGAAAAAAAACCGAATAAGAATTTAAAATATATGGTGGAACATTTTTATTTTATTTTATTTGTTTAAATTTTAGTCACTTTCACTTATTTCACCTTCTTCGCCTTCATCGTCTTGAGAATTTGTAGGTTTTATTTCATTCGAATAATTTGTTGATAGTGATCGTTTATCATTTGAAGATGATGTTGATGGTGAATGTCCATCATTACCACCACTACCAGATATTTCATTTAATTGAGCTAATAATTTCTCGCGTGTTAAAAATAATTGATCCATATCTTGAGGATCTATAAAGAAAGGAGAGAAAAAATGGTTTGCTAATAGGAATAAATTCATTAGAAATAAATTTACTATCAGATTAATGTTTGTCTATTTAATGATATCCGTCGGGCTCAAATTTTTGCTACAGGTAGGTTATCGAAAACAATTGAATAAACGTTCAAAAAAAAAAAATTCTACAAGCAGGTTTCCAAACAACTATCGAGCCTGCTTACAACCTCGGTTTTACTTTATGGAATTGGACTGAAATTTTTTCTATAGTCACCTAAAACGAAGTCTTACCAGGGAAGTCTCCCATCTGATTAAACACACTTTGGAGTCTAAACTACGTGCATCATGTCGACCCTAATGAGCTTTGGATATACTGAAAAGAGTTCGAGCTCTTAGCTAATGGCTCCTGAGACATTGCAACTTTACAGTATTTTTTATATTAATGTCGTGATTTCTCTCAGGAATACAGAGTAAAACTCATTTTGAAATTTCAATTTGAGATTTTCGATATAGACTGAGCTCACTGAGAATAGTTTGTTGTGAAAGTTTTAGATATTTTCGTTGTTCGTATTCTAAGACCAAGCAGCTATGATAGAAACTTGTCTTTTACACTGCTCTTATACACAGATCGATTTTATCTTCTTATTTTCAGAAAAAAAAGCACATCAAAAGATTAGAAACTTTTATAATAAACTATTCTGGTTAAGACTTGTTTATTATGTAAAGTTTCAAGTCAAAATTCGAAAATGAGTCTACTAAATACTAATCACTATGAATCTGCACTCCCTGATTTTTCTGTACTTTAACAGAGAAGCTTTGAAGAAACACGAACTAGGAAAAAATCGAAAAAAACAGACTCTGTTAAGTTGTATAGCGGTATATCTTGACTACATTTTAAAATCAATTCGAACTTTTTAGCATTTGAAATGATGAAGTATAAGGCATACAAAAACCTATATTTTAACCCATTACCTTACGCTCACTTTTCTTAAACTCAATGTATCAAAAAAGGATAGTTTTTGAGGAAGTCCTTAAATCAAACTCTCATATTTTTGTTAGAAAGCTACCAGAAGGTTTTGTATTTGATTTTAATGGATTATTCATTTTCTTTTTTCCATTCGTTTCTGTTTGTTGAGATCCACCTCGTCGATTATTATTCGTATTTGCTCCTGTCATTGGTGTATCACGTTTTGTTCGTCTCAAAGCAAGACGTTCTTCAGATTCATATTTATATTGATTATAATTCGAATTTGGTATGTGGGATCCAACATTTCCCATTGCCATTGGATGTGGCGGTAACTCAAATGGTGGTCGAGTAGGTGGTGGAAAACGATTTATTGGATGATGATGACTACGTGATCCGGATTGCATTAAAGGTTGAGGTGGTGCTTGTGGATAATAAGGCGGTTGCATAAGTGGTGCATGATGACGTTGATGATGATTATGTTGAAAATTGAATCGACCAACGCCACTTGTTGGTTCAACTGGATGCATCATTGATCGATTCGACGGTGGATAGTATGGATGGTTTGGTAAGAGAGGTGGTACATTTTGTTGATGTACATAGGGAGGTTGTGGCGGTGGCGGTGGCGGCGGTGGTGGTGGTGGTGGTGGTCCTGGCAATAAACCACCAGATTGTCTTGTTTGTTGCCAATGTGGTTGATGATGAGAATGAGGATAATGATGATGTGATTGATAATGTATTGGAGCTGGTGGAAAATTATTAGTGTTAGTGTTATTATTATTATTGTTATTAGTTTCGGTATATTCATTATCATCATCGTAACTATTTGAACGACGTCGTGGATGATGTTTATTTGAATGTCGTTTAGATGATCGATGTCGACTTCGACTACGGCGTTTACGTGATGAAGATGATGATGACGATGATGATCGAGAACGGGAACGAGTACGAGAACGTGAACGTGAACGAGAGCGTGAATGAGATCTGGATCGTGAACGTGAACGTGATCGAGAACGAGATAATGAACGACTAGGAGGTGAAAGAACAGGCTGTTTGGAAGCAGAAGATGGATTTATCGCATTTTTTAATTCATCAATTAATGTCATTGAAGTTGTTTTTAATGGACGATTTTTAGACGTCAATTTCTTGCTTGTCTCTATCGACGAAGCTGTTGTTAATTCAGCGATTTTAGAATCAGCTAAAATAAATAAGCAAACAAGTGTTTTTAATTCAAATTTATCTACGAATGATGTGGATGTTCAAATAAATGTCTATACTTATAAATATTAGATATAAAAATAGTTTTCTTAAAAGTCAAATTTAAGTCACTTATCGTTGTGAAAAGGAAAATTCAAGTTGAATTTAGCCTACAAACACCAAGCACCGGTAATATTGGGAGTGATTTTCAACACTTTTGAGAAATCAGTATAGTAGTAAATGGATAACAGGCTCAAAGGTTTTTAAAGATTACAGAAAAGAAAAGAGACAAAGTTCATAATGCCTGTGAAAATGTGTCACTATCGAGTGTTGCCATTGGCTATCCTCTCTCCAATGAACAGTATCAGGCCGAATTAAGATTTAATATCTTCCGCTGAAGCAATACAGGGTGCAATATGTCCAACAACTTCATGAAGAAGCTTCATAAGATCGAGTTGAAGTTCTCAAATTTTGATACCAATGTTAGAAAATGTCAAAAAAGATCGTTTTTTTTTAAAGAATTCTATTTTCATTTAAACGACATATCGATACATACAAAGTGAAAACCTATGTATATCAGATATATGCAAACATCTGTTTAAATTTAAAATAGAAACCAATAATGGGAATACATTAATTTGAAAATAAACTTCCTGCAATACGTTTTTTCAAGATTTCGAAAAGGATAAATCTATGTAGTTTACTTCATAGTAATCATTTTGAATATTTTTTGTAAAACAAACTATATCGAATAAAACTTTAAAAAAAAATATACTATTATATTATCAAAAAGCAATGAAATAGCTTGAAATATAAAGAATGTTCTAGGTAAAATTGCACTAAATCTTAATGTTTTTCTCTTTTACTTTATATTTACTTAAAATATTTCGTTTATATGCCAAAAGATAGAGAATATACTGAATTATTTCACTACGGCTTTCTATTTTCTGTTGACAATTATTGATTAGTGGAAGCATTTGCTCATTAAGTAGAGCTTCATCGGGACTATAATTTTCCGAGACAGACTCGATTTATTGAAATTTTTCGAACCCGACAGGCTGAATTATAAAGATCGGTGATGAAAGTAAATTATTTCATAACAAAAAATAGAGAATTTCATGCTTTAAACTCCCATGACCATTTCAAGGTTTCTGAAGGTATGAATCAGGAAAAGCGTTTAGAACCGACACAACTAAACAGTGAAAGTACTAAAATTACTTAGAATTTAAAAATTAGAATTGTACAGGTCTATCATATAAGGTATCTTTCGGTGCTTTCAGTTCTTTTTAATTTCAAAGTTACTCGTCCCAAATACTTCATCTCAAATTCTAAAGCATACATCCAAAGATATAGAAATTTGTTAGAGGATTTTGTGGCACTCTTAATGTTCCAGTGAAACATATCATAAGAAAATAAAACTTCTAGTATATTGAGAGTTTTCGAATATTGCAGTTGAATGAATGTTTATCTTTTAAAGTTGGTACTAATAAAGAAAACTTATTTCAAAAGCCCAATGGATAGTTTGGCAGAGCTTTAAATTCTCTATCTTTTGGCATATAAACAAAATGTTTTTAAGAATAGCAAATGAGAGAAAGAAGCATCGATATCAACTGCTATTTCACTTGGGATAGTTTGTACTTGTTAAAGTTCGAATTTTTCGAAAAATTAATGACGGAATCGTCTATTATGAGAAGATCTTCTAGGTCAGAGAAAAGTTTGCTTCATTTTTAGTATTCAGAAACAAACAATTAAAAGACTATTAAACAAACCTGCTCCATTACTGGTATTTTTACTGTTATGAGGTTCTACAATTGTATGATTGTGATCACTACTTTCCGATTGTGTTCGATGTTTTGGACTATCGAGATCCATTGCTACACATTCAAAATCATCTACAGATGCTGATGGTTCTATAATATTTCTTTCATGTGTTCCATCATTTGAAGCAAGACCTAATGAAGCTTTTTTCTGACGTTTTAATAATTGTTCAATTCGACTGTCAGTTGGAAGTGGTGATGTTGTTGTATGTGGTTCATCTATTTTCGATAATTCTTCATCAACAGCTCGCATATTTTGATGAAAAAATCTTCGAGCATTTGAATCATCTTCTAGTTCTTCATCTGATGAAGCTGAATCCCAAAGATTATTAGATTTGTTAGTTGTCCAAGGATCTTGATAATCATTAGACATCGAAGGTAATGAAGACATTGATTGTGTACTTATGAGATTTGCTGAAGAATTTGGTCGTGAAATAGGTATACCAGGTGGTGTTGAAACATTTTTTCTATTAAACGATTGTGAAAGTTCAGTAGTTGATGTTAAAACATGAGGCAGATTGGTACGAGAATCAATAAATGCTTTGGTTGTTGAAGGTATAGATCGAGATGGAAGTGATGATTGGGATGGTGGTAAAGTTGGTGGTGATGGTGGAGGATAGAGTGTTGATAAAGGATCCTAAAATTATATTAAAAAAATTTAAAAACATGAAATTATGTATTTTTCTTTCAGAAGATTATTTACAGGTGAAAGAGGAGATTGTGATTGAGTATTTTCAAGACCAATTGAACTTATACGAGAAAAATTTGTAGTCGAACGTGTATCATTATTAAGTAATGATGAATAACGTTGATTCGATATTGATGATTGTTTTCCAAGACTACTATCGATATTATTATCAAGACCTATGGGTGATAATGGTGCAAATGGATCTGAATTATCGTTAGGATTTTGTTGAGGTCGATTCGAACGTTGTGGTGAACGACGTTTCGGAGAAAATCGTTGAACATTAGAAAGATTTTTTTCCGATATAGTTGAACTTTTATTATTACTTAATGTACTTCCTGAAGGAAGAGTATCCGACTTTTGATCAGTAAGACTTTTTAATGATGTTAATTTGTCTGTAGATTTTGGTTTAATAGTTGGATTTAATTTAGGTATTTTTCCAAGTATAACAGGAGACGGTTTTGCTGCAACTGATTCAGTTGATGTTTTAGTTGTTGTTGTATTTGAAATATCTGACGATTTCTTCTCTGTTAATTTTGATAATGATGGAATCGACGATGGTCGAACAAGTTGTTTTTCACTGTTGTTATTATTCGATGGCATTTTATTTGTTGAAGTTTTAATAGGTTTCTTCGGTATAACAGTTGGTGTTGATTTTTTAGTTGTAATCACTGTTTCTTTTGGTATTGGTGTAGGTCTGAAGAGAAGAATTATTAGTTGTGAAAGAAAAACAAAGATATAATTTTTACAATACTTTTTTATTGATTTCTGTTCGACAAATTTATTAGTTTTAATATTAGTGATTGGTTTATTATCTTTTTTTATTTGTGGTGACGGAGGAACTGTTTTTAATCGTACTTTTACTTTTGATTGATCATTAGTATTTTGAGATTGTTTATTATTTGATAGATTAACATCAAGAGATGTAAATGGTTTGTCTAAGAAGATGATAATATGAGAAGAGAAAATTTGTATATAGACTAAAACAACAACTTACTGGTAGCATCTTCTGTTGTTGAAGGAGCTTCATCGATGGTAGACGATGGTGATGAAGATAATGCTTGATTTGTAGAATTACTAAAAAGAAAAATAATTGATTAATATTAACCGTTTGATTACGTGGCTCGTATATATATATATATGAGTGGAACTATTATGCAGATTATTGTTTTTATAATTTTCTATTTTTCTTCGACCATGAAAGGATCTCTCTCGCTGTATATACAGTAAAACCTCACATAGTGGATACCATCATGTAGTTGTATGGTGAATACTTTCAACATGTTTCAATGGTGTTCATGATAGAGATTGCTAATTTTTTTTATTCATTAACACCTTTCTGATACCTGGAAAACTCGTCTGTGCTTTGTAAAACAACTACTTTTAGAAAAGATCTAGCTTGTTTATAGTGACTGATGAAACTCTAATCTTACAGAAGACCAGACGTTCAGTTTTATTATTTCTATATTATAATATAGAACTACAGAGTTATTCATGCGGTCATGCGAAGATTCCAGAAGGTTTTGAATAACTCTACTGGGCTCTGCAAGCACTGAATGTTATGATATTCATTGAAATTTAACGAAATGGGCTATTTTCTTTTGACGTGGCAAAATGTTTGTTCACTTTTGAGTCGTTAGACAGTGTTTCCAAGTTTCTATAAGTAGAACTAAATTTTTTATCTGCTTTGCGAAAATTCCATAACCAAAAAGTTAAGAAGAAAAGTTATTGATAAAAGAAATTGTTAATTACTTTATTTGATTTTGATCTGTTGATATTGCACTTGAACTGTTTGATAAAGATGATTTATTATTTAAATTTGACCTTTTAATTATTTTTATTCGTTCATTAACAGATTCTTCAATAGTGACAGATTTTTCTTGAATACTTTCTTCATTGATTAAACAAGGCGAACGTTTTGTTGACATTGTTGGTATATCAACAGATGTTTCATTAATAGCTTCATTAGGATTATCATTAAATAATTGTGTTGGTTTTTGAGTAGTAATTATTTTTGATTTAATAGGTGATTGAACAGATACAGATGATTCTGATTGATGTATTGGTGAATAATCCGGCGATGATGAATTTGATTGTTGATCATCACCTGTTTCATCATCGTAAAGATCTTGTCGTGTACGATAATTAGAACTATCTTGAATTAATGGTGGAACTGTTGCAACAATTAATGGTTCATCTTGATCATCACTACTATGTGTTTGTTCTTCTTCATTATTAATTGGACATGTCGGTGATGCTCTATATTGACCATCGATTTTTTGAATTTTTGTTTTTATTATAGATGTACGACCATCATTATCTGTTTTTGAATGACGATGAGATGAAATTGAACGTTTGCGTAATCGTGTTGTTAATGTTATTGTTGTTGAACCTTCGTCCATTGGAATGTTGTTTATCTGTTAACAATAAGTACTAAACAAAAGAAGAACGATAAAATATTAAAATTAAACAAAATTCAAATCTTAGTACCATTTAAACATTTAAACATTGAAACTGAATAAAATAAAAAGAAATTTCTTATTTTTTTTGGTATATGAAGAAGATTTAATAATCTAAAACATAATAATTTTATTTATTAGATTCATATTTCAATTAAAACATAATAAATCTGACAAAATAAAAAAAGAAAGAATTTAAACAATTAAAGGCTGTTTTTTAAATGCTAATTCAACCATTGTGTGAGTTTGCATCCATAGATCTTCAGTTAATTTTATATTATAAACAAATGATGATGGAGAACCTTCATAACAATTATTATAATATATGGTTGGTTCATTTAAAACAGATTGCATTATAGTACAAAAGATCGGTGTTGCTGCGGCTTGTTGCTAGTTGAATAGGAAGAGAGAAAAAAAACAATAAGAAATTAATTTTCTTTTTTTTTTCTTCTCTTTTACCAAAGATTTGGAAAATGGACGTGCAATTGTAACAAGAAATCGATATAAATAAGAATTGCGAGTTAAATCAGTATTGATTGCATTACCTGGATGACAAGCAACAGAATAAATTTCTAAACAAAAAAAAAAATTCAATATTTAAGTTAGATTTATTATTGTATAAATGCTAACGTGGATAATTTCGTCGAAATTCGGCAATAAACATAATTAAACAAAGTTTTGATTGACCATATGCAAGTAAATGATCAAAATGATTTGGTGAACGTGGACTTAATCGATCTGGTACAATACCATTAAGCATTGAAATACCTGGACTTCTGAAATATTTAAATCAATAAATAATTAAATAGCAAAAAAGAAAATAATAAATTTAATTTCTTTTTTTTTTTTTTACTCTACTCGATGAGATTCACAACTTATTGCAATAACACGAGGTGGACTATTGGTTTTAGTTATTAACATTGATTGAAGTAATCCAAAAGTAAGATAGACTTGCGACATATAATTAACTTGAAACATTTCTTCATAACCATCTACAGTTAATTTAAATGTTGAATTTAAAACACCAGCATTTAATATAAGAAAATGTAACGGTCTAAAATATATAGATGATGATTTTACGAGAAAATAATTAAAAAAAAAACTAGTCAATTTCAGTCATTGTATCCACAGGCGACGAAGCCACAAGGTTTGAGTAGGCTTGAGCTCAGGATTGTTAATCTTTTTTAGGAGTGGAGTGAAAATTTGACAGAAAATCCGAAAATTCTCGCAGAAAATGATTTCATCTTAGAAATGGTGACCAGAGAAAAACAGATAGTATTTCATAATCCAATTTCTGTTTACAATTATCACCAAGTCGAGCATTTCGAGAGAGCGGAAGGAAGGTCTTCCTTTCCGTCCATAATAAAAAACCTGCTCGAGCCTATCCTAGATTAAAAAGCTACAAACTTGGATAGACTTGAATTCATCCTATATTGGATAGATAGCAGCTTATCAAGAAGGAACAAACTCATTTCTATGTTAGAAATCACTTTAACGCCTTAGTGATAAGAATGATGACTAAAAATGCTTTAAAATTATCGAATACTATCAGAAGTCATTAGAGAACATGAAAAATCAAAGAAATCAGTTTGCTCCCTCTTGAAGCTTATTTAGACTCTAATTATTGTAAATATTTTCTATGACTGTTTAATTTTCATTGTCATCTAGCAAATGAAGCATTGTCGCAAGGTCACTCCGTATTTTATCTACTACTAACTTGTCTTCAATAAGCATAGACCATAAAGCCACAAGACTTGAAATAGTGAAAGTCTATCCTAGATTCACACTTTGTAGACTCAGGCATTTCCTACTTCCATCAGATTGATAGATTTGAGCAGCGCATCGCATTTTTTTGTACAAGCACCAATTTTTTTCGCTGCCTTCGGCAATTACTTTCTCAATCAAGCACAATAAGAAAGCATCGAATTTTGTACAAATTAATATTGGATCATACATCGTCAATGACTTGAAGTGATGATTCTTCAAGAAGAACTGTACGACAAATCTGAGTTAGATTAACTAGAATGTGTCAAAAATTTCCTTCGTATTTCGCGGCTAAGATTACATGCCTATTAAACATTTGTGCCTTCTATTAAACTTGTTTTCTAGTAAAGTAAATAAGAATCTCTTCTTTCAACGGTTGCCTATCGATAAACATAAACGTTTGCATATTTCTTTACGCAAATTCCAAACATTTTTTTTTCTGATCTTCATTACTGTTATATGTTGCAAAGTGTAAGTTTCAAAGAAGGAATACTAACTGCATGAAGCTAATAACGATAGCGAAACAGTCGCGACAACAGAACCTTACTGATTAAAATTCAAAAACTATAGGGTAGACTTTATGATAAAAGATATATCTGCAGAATAAAATAGATGTATTATTTATTGACATTTTATATTGAATAACACTTACAAACATTCTTGTCGATATTGTTCAGCAAATTGTTTAACATTGCGTAATGAACATAAATCTAATTTTCGACAACTAACATTTGCATTTTCCTAAAACATATTAATTATTTGTATTGATTAAATTTAAATAGATTTTTTGTTTTGTTTTATGATTTAATTTATTTAAAATTCTATTTTATTTTACAAAATAGTACATTTTTGGTTGTCAAAATTTTCGTTATTATTATCATCATCAAGAACAACCGTTCATTATTCTAACTATCAAATAAAGCATATTTTTTAATTATAAGACAGAATGAGAATTTATGAAAATGATTTATCAAATCTTTTAATAAGCGATATGTAAAAAAAAAAAATACCTGTTCTTTAAGAATTTTTGCACAAGCAGCTTCACCTTTTGTCATATTTCGACAAGCTAAAATAACTTGACAACCATGTTTCGCTAATGAACGAGCTATTTCAAAACCTATTCAAATACTCTTATATTATCATATGATTGTTTTTAAACTTAGATATTTACCTATGCCAGTATTAGCACCAGTAACGATAGCTGTTTTATTACTTAAATCTATTCCATAAAGTATTTGTAATGCATTTGATTGATGTCCATAATTTGCACTAGAATCTTTTGTTGATGGATCTTTCGTAAATGTTAAACGCGGATCAACAGTTGTAGAAATTTTATTTTGTTCACTATACATAGAAATAATTGTTGTACGATGGTAGAAGAAATTATTTTTATAATGAATTTAAAAAAAAAAAAAAATCTTCTAATTTTACATGGACATGTCAAGTTGAATATTGCTTTTGAGTTTGCATAAGATAGATCCTAATGAGAATTGAAAAAGCCCAGAACGATAAGAGCTCATAGACATTCTCTGCAAAGTTATGGTTGTTTCGCTGAAATTTTAGCATGACATGAACAAAAAACAATCGAATGACGATATTTCGACTTGAAAATTTCAGTTCAAAAGAACGTTTCATTCACAAATTATTGACTCCTTAATAATCACTCATATTCCAGGACACATTCGAGAATCAGATAGTTTTTGACAGTTTAATATATCATGAAAAGAATATTCTTTGACCTGACACTTGCAAAATATAATAATTACAACTAAACCTATCTATGGATATAATTAGATGTGTGGGTGAAATCATTACTCATATCTTCACTCACATCCACTCAATTCGCTGAGGTAAAAATATCTTGTTTCGATATTTTTGTATGTACTTTTCTATTGGATAAAATTCCAGAAAAATAGCTATAATTTTAGTAGAGAAGGCCTATGATTTCTTATTAGAGACATGTGAAGTCAACATTTTTCTTTTCTTAAATTATCAACAGCTTACGTGTTTATATATCTTACATACTGTCACGAATCATTTAGGTATAAATAGATATGTTAGATATTAAATAGAAAAATTAAAATTAATTAAATTTTTTGATATCTTTATGAAATGACTGGCAAGATCTTATCATGCGAATAGATTCTAAATTTAATAATAAAAGAAAACAATTCTATTAAATCGGTACTACAAAACAAAATACAACTGAAGTTAGAAATAATTTCCATTAAGGTATGTTACATAACAAAAGGTTTTTGGAGTTTCTATAATTTATATTAACTTCATTGGAGTCTACTTTAAGCATAGAGTCCGAACTTAAAGAGTAATTTTCAAGTTAGTAAGGCTCTCTGATTATAAATAAAATTCTCGTATCTAATGATTAATCATCGAACATACTCGACATAAAAAACATTGCCATTTTTTTCAATAACTTCTTCCCAACCAAATGGTAATTCTAAAAAATAAACAAAAAACTAAACAATTGCAAACATCAATATTTACCTTTAGATATAATTTTAACTTTGTTCGTAACTGGATGTTCCCATTGTGTTGTTTGTGTTTGATGGTTAATATAGAATATTCGTCCATCAGTTGTTTTTGCTTGCTCCCAATTGCTTGGAAGTTCATCATCTGAGTCATCAATCATTTTTTTTTTTTTCTATCTTAAAAACAAACAAGCAAACAAACTTTCTTATTTTGATCGGTACTGAAAAAAAGGAGAACATCACTCAACGATAACAAGCATAAAAAGTGATCATTTCAAAAAGCAAAACGTTTTTATTTTATTTTATTTTTTTAATTTTCTTTTTCAACTAAAACACCTGAATCTTGTGGTTCTTTTTTTGTTCCTCCTGATTCAGCTGTATTATTAGCAGATTTTCCTGTTTGTTGTTGTGTTGGTCGTTCATACGAAAAATGTATATCATACTTTTGTTTATAAGCCGTTAATTCTTTAGCTTTCTCTTCTGTTTTTTGTTTAAAACTTTCAATAACATTATTAATTTGCTCACGATTAGTTTGAAGGGCTGGCACAACTTCTCCAACAGTATGTTCAATAAGAACACCACCAATCATACGATAACAACGACGTTGTTTATCCGTTATTGTTGATAATGTTGAAAGAACAAGATCATGTTCTTTTAAATCCATTTCTAAATCTTGAGTTTTTTGTACTAATTGTGTTTGTTCATCACGTAATGCTTGAAAACCTGAAACAATTTTTTGTTGTTCTTCAGCTGTTAAAGCTGCTTTTTTTCCCGATGATGAAGAATTTTTACTCGCCATCTAGAATATAATCAATAGGATTATTTAAGAATAATTTTAGTTTATGATTTAAAGATTCATATGAGAAAAACAAATATGTACTTTCTATTTTTGTTTAAAAGAAAATCTATTAATAAATCTACATGTGTCAAAAAAAAAGAAATAAATTAGTGATGTTAGTGAATCGTTGATGACATCATATGGAAGAAAAAAAAAAACTTCAAAGACAAATAAACAATACAAGAAGAAACAAACACATATTATAAATACCAATTAAAATTTATTTGAAAACCTCTAAAACTATTAAGAATATTTAATATTAAAATAAAAATTTTTCAGAACAATTTGGTGTTTATAAATATGAAAAGAAATTAGATTTGATTGAATAGATGTCGCTAAATAAATGTGGTTTGTTGTCAAGTGAACGATCAGATCGATGGAATGTCAAGAACCAATAAAAGATTTGTCATTTATTTCAAATAAAAGATCAATACCCTGGATTGATATTAAAATGTCCGAAGGTGATTTTGATAAATCATTTTCAACTTTAATCTCAAAATTAGGTTAAATTAAAACAATAAGATATCTTTCTTATATATAAACTAGTTTTTTTCTTTTTTTCAATAGGTCATCCTGTTGAAGAAATTCGTCTTCGTGCACTTGAAAATTTTCAAGCTAAACTTGATTTAAAAATTATTTCTGATGTTGATATACTTCAATATAAATATTTATATATTAAATTACTTGAATGGTTTAATTTTTCATCACCTCCAAAGCGTGACGTTGTGCTTGATATAATTTTACAACTTTCTAAAGTAAGTTAATATTGTTGGGTAAAATATATGACGCCTTTTCCTATGAGTTATATACTACTTGCTAGTTTTTCTTTCGCTTAAGTATGAATGGCGTAATGAGATGGGATAATACGACTAAGCATTAGACATTTTCAGTGTTAGTAGTAAAATTATCATGTTCAGAACAGAATCAATTCCACATAAAAAAAAGGATTCGTATTCATAAATTTTGAGTAAACAAAAATTCTTTTTTTTTGTTATTGAAAATAGGCATGGTTTTCGAAAGCAGCATGTAAAAATACATTGGAAAAAGCTATCTTTTATTGGAAAAAACTTCTGTTCAAATTTTATTCGTAGGAAGATAAAGCCTAAAATTTTACGAAGAAAAACCTCGGAAGAGTAGAGCAGAAATTTTGACCAGAGATATTTTCCGTACAAGTAATCCTGTTCTAAAAGTAATGATTTTTTTGTACTAGCACTGAAAAGTCTAAGGTTTGTATCAGATATTTTGATGTCACAAGACCAATCGCGATACTAAATATGATGAAACAAGAAAAAAGCAGATCCGAAGTATATATATATATATATCATTTTCTTCAATCATGTTTCGCGAATTTTTGATAACCATATACATCTTTTGTTGCCAGATGTTCGAACTATGGTTGTAGCTTCCACCATTTTTTTTTTGTTATTGGTTAAATGATAGACTTCTTTCTGATGTATCAAAACATAAGTATGTAACTAAGTACTTTTTTAATAATAGGTAGTACTGATTAATAAAGCGATTGCTGAAGATGATTAATATCTATTTTCTAGACAGTCTTCAGTAAAGATTTGGTCATTATTTATGCAAATATAGATGAAATATAAGCCATAATGCAATATTAGTTGAAAGTGATTTTTCTTTAAACTATTGATTTCTTTTGCGTATAGATACTACGTAATCTTTTAATAAAGCCTTCAAAGGATTTCGGTTCCTATGGGCATACGACTAATATATCGACTATTATAGTTGACTTCTCTATGTGCACAAAGTTTCGGATTAATATTTGATAGTTTAGTCAAATATCAATAGGAACTCATATCGGCCAACTGAAGAGATTCTCTGGTAAGGTTCAAGGTGTCCAAGTTCTTGTGTAATTGGCTCGTGTCTGTAGAACACTTACAACAGAAAAAGATTAGTGAAGAGAGCCGGATATATAACCTTCAATTCTTTGGTATTCTTTTATTTGGTCTTGTTCTTTTTTTTTAAAAGAATGAATCAGCAGCATATAATCTTCATTCAATTGGTGCTGTGGATTTTTTGAATGCACTTCGAATTGATTTAACACCTGAACTTGAACGTCGTGTTGATCAAATTCTTGAAAATATTCTTTCACAACATTTTACTACACAATCAACATCAAATCTTAGTCGATCAAATTCATGTATATATACATATATATCCTTTTTGTTTTCTTGATCTAATCGCATAGATGATTTTTTAATGTAGCATCATGTCAACTTGTACGATCAAATATTCAAATGGAATCAAGAAATTCAACAATGTTTCAATCACCAATATTTAATTTAAGTTCACAACAAACAGATTTATCATTTCATCGACATGATATAACTAATTCTGCATTACAAAATTTATCAAATCAATCAGGAATGAAAGGAATATTAAAAATAACTACTGCACCATCGATTGGTAATCTATTGTCGACGACTGAAGGTGAAGAAAAAAAAAATCAATCATTCAAAAAAAAAAACAACAGAAGATAAATATTTTAAATAATTTTAGATAATCAAAATGGATCAACATGTCAATTTATAACATTATTTCCATTAATTTATTTAACACACTCAGATCGAACTGTTCTTACGAATTTAGAAAAGTAAAATTTTTGTTTCTCTAAAAATTGATTTATTTTTATTGTTTCTTTTTAGTGCTCTTTTATTACGAGATGATTCTTCCATTGTTATTAGTCATTGTCATTTTTTATCAAATGTTGTTCTTAATGATTTTCCTGCAGAACTTTTCTTACAAAGATCATTTATTATTAAAGTAAATATTGATATATAATTTCAAAAAAACAAAAAAAAATTCTTATTCTGTTTTTAATTTATAGCGTTTACTTGCTTTACTAAATGAAAATAACGATGATCTTATTAAAGCATCACTTTCATGTTTAAAAGATTATTCCGTTAATTTACAAAGACGAATTAAAATTCTTCGAGATCCAGCTTGTTTTTGTCCAAATCATCATTCAAATAGAGGTATAACAAAATCTTTATACGATTAATAAGAAATTGAAAGTGACGAGTGATGTCTATAAAGAATACATTTAAAATTGAAGAAAAAATTCAGTAGAAAATGTAAGACTAATTCTTTCATAATAATCTTGCATAACAATCGTGAAATCAGTCGAATCTATCTTGTACTTGTTTTTTACGACAATTCTTCTTTCAAATTGTTTGTCTATTTTTAGTATATGAAATCTTTATCAAATTTTATGAATTAATTTCAAAGACAACAATTTCGATTCTATGAAGCTTTGATGTTTTACAAGCGAATTTTAACTTAGCTCTGTCTTTTGAGGTCACTATAGTTTCTGTTGGAAACATACAGAGCATAAAATATTGTTTCGTTCGTTTAAAAACTGGAATTTTGGTGTATGTTCGTTTCGACTTTTCTTCCTATTTAAATATTAATACACATTTGAAGGCATTAAATGAAAATAAAAAACTGTACTATATCTTCTCAGCATGAATTCAATTAAACTCTGTGGCGCAGCTACAGAGTTATAAAGTGAGAATGACTATGAACGGTTAAATCAATGTTATTTTTCTTTATGTTTTTGAAGTAAAATAGAAAATCTTGGTCTATTGATGAAAAAAATATTATTTTTTAGTATAGATTTAAATAATAGCTGAAAATAGTAGATCTATGTTGAAGAGGTTTTTACGACGAAAACATCCGAAAATTCTCGTTAAAGCTAGAAAAAGCCTAAAAGGGTTCGTTTCCATGGATCTTTGGAGTCGATTATAATCGTTTCACTGCATTTCACAATTCACCTTTAGATAGATACCGAAAAACCGTTCATTTGTTACAGATATGATAGAAAAATCAAGTTTACTGGAAAATTCAATATCTCGACAAAGGAATCATCTTTTCAATTGACACTTTTAGAATACTACGGGTTATTAGATCTATCTAAGACAAAACATCATATCGAAATTCTGCTTTTTGGTTTTTCGAGATGAACCTAAAAGTTATAAAGATCTATAAGAACGAATACTTATACATTTTTCTTAATCTTACTAAGACGTCCTTATAGGGCTAATACGTGCCCAAACGGCGGATATCAGTTCGTGTAGTTTTCTCGTTAGCGTTTTTAATTTTGCATTTACCTAAAACGAAAAAATTCATTTGACTTGTAACAATCAATAATTATAATTTTCTTGTAAATTAATTCAAATTTAGATGGACTAAAAGAACAAATTCTTGATGATTTGAATAATACCATGACAAGTGCCCGATCTGTTTCTTCAATTAGTTCAGCAACATCAAATGGTTATCGTCATCCATCACAATGGTAATCTTCAATAATTTCTTGGTATATAACAATCTCATTATTATTATTATTTTTTTAGGTCATTAAAATATGATGAATCATCACCTCAATTAGATCAACCATCATCATTTGATATATTAGATTTTTGCTATGCAATATTACTTGGAACATTGGATTTATTACGTCGATTAACACTAAAAGATTGTCTTCATGTATGTTTACAATTAAATAATTCTATATGTCATATTATTGATCTATTTGTTAAACATAATTATGGAACAATGAATGTATGAGAACAATAAAAGAATTTTCAATTAAATAATATATATTCTTTTTAGTTTGAATATTATTCTGTACTATTTTATCGATTACATTCATTAATTAAACAACAATTAATAATTGGTTATACATTTCAATGTCGAACAATATATATACATAGTTTACATGTTTTTTCAACACTTTTACATACAATACAATGGTCAGATGAAGTAATTTATTAATTTAAATTTTATTCTATTTAAGATTTATTTGTATGATTTTTTCTTCTTCTTTCGAATAGATTGTTAATCAATTACCGCAAGAATTTAATGAATTAGTTTATTATATTTTAATGGATGAATGTTTCAATTTATCATATCCGCATATAAAAGAACGTTTATTATCAATAGCCGAAAAATTTGATAAAGATAATTATCAAGTTTATATGAAATCAAATGAAATTTGTTGTTCATTTTCAGCTGCTTGTCAAGTTTTAACAATTGATGAAAATAAAACTCAGGTAAATAATCAAACAAAAAGTAGAGTACTTCGAGTCCAAAATTATCGACTCCGAACCTGGACTTGGACACCCATCTGAGCTTGGATCTGATCGTGTCCTAGTCCTTGATCAACCGAACAAACTCTAATAAGAAAAGAAAAAAAAAACGAACTTCTTGACTTTATTCTTAATTTAGAACTTTATGGATATTGTTAAGAATGCTAATGAAGCTTTATTAGGTTTACCTTATCATTTAAATTTTAATGTTGTTAAACGTTTTGTTAATATTTGTTCAAAAATGTAAGTAGAATAGATGTTAATGAAGGATATATAAAATAGTTTTTTATTTTTTAGCTCAGCAGACAATTCGAAATGTGATTTATCTGAAAAGAATTTTTCACTTGATGTTTTAATTAAATATATGACACATGAACTAGCTGAAATACGTACAGCTGTTTATTGTTCTATAGCAATGCTTGTAGCAGTAAGAAAATATTTTCAATTGAAAATCTAGTGTAAGAAAAATGAAGTTTTAATTTTCTTTTTTATAGAGTCGTCTGTCTGTTGAAGAAACAGTTAAAACAACTAATAAATTAAAGAAAAAACCAACTATAGCTGCAAATTTTGATGATACACAATTTGTATGTAATATTCGAATAATGACTGAATTATGTGCTAACGGTATGAATGATTTAGCAACAAAAGTAAGTTATCTTTGCTCTTGATTATTTATTGATTTTTATCATATTTTAAAGGTTTCGGATTATTCTCGATTAATTCTTCTTCATCTTCTTCAATCAAAATTATTAGTATCGAATGAATATTGGAATAATGTTATGACGATTATTGCTATACTTTTACCACAATTACAAGTAAGAAAAATAAATTTTTGTGTAATGTAAAAAAAAAAACTACATGAGTACATTTGATTTTTGTTAGTGTTATAGTAATAAAATTGATCCACTTGGTCAATGTATTTTGGCTTTAACATCAGATACTGAACGAGAAAACGAGTCTTTATTAACATTAAATCAACGTCTTCAAGCAGCACTTCGATATTTGTTTTCAAAAGATAAAGAGTAAGAATTAATTGAATTGATAAAAAATTTCAAAAATACTTCCAGCTTAATATTTTCGAGACTGAAACAAAAAACAATGAAGTGACTGTGATGGATGTGTGACGACTTTCAGTTCTTTTCACATTATCAGGATTATTGATTGTTTGATATTTTTCTAGCTCTAAGTTTTCAATAGTTCAATGTAACAGTATTACTTACAAGAGATAAAATGAGCTGTTCTATAATATCAACTCATATAAGAAGAACTGATTTTTCGACCGAGAAGTATCACTCGTCTGTCAGTGACAAAAAATTATATGTCGATCTAGACATTTTGTGGAACACGCGATCATCCACACGAACAGCCACCACTATTCGTAATCATCCAAAAAAAACTCAGAAAATATTTTTAGCTACTTGTCTTCACTGTGAAAATCCAAAGATTTTACGAGAAAACTTCTGCAGGTGTCAAATATCTGTTCGATCGAGACACTGCTAAATTTATTAGTACCAGTGAGTTATAAAAAAGTCTAGAATGATTTGGTTCTCCGGGTCTTGCCTCTTGAGGTATCAGAATTTTATTGAATTTTTCAATAAAAAGTCATGATCTCCTTCAGCTCACATAGAAATATTGAGTTTTTGACTTAAAACTTTTCATGAACAGAGTTATTAATGAGATTAGTTCATTGGATCAGCTGTAACTTTTCTAGTGTCTCCTATCCTGGTACATTCAATACTCGAAACTCTCTCAAGTGTAAAAGTAAATTTTGTTCATATATTTAACCAAACCATTCTAGACTGTTGTATTACTTACTAGCACTCATCGAATGCACATCGTCTCGGTTGAAAAGCAATTTGACATCTGGAGACGCTTCCTCGTGACATACGTTGATCTTTTATAAATTAAATATATGACAATTTTTTGATCCATATCATTTTGTAGTCCAGGTAGTTAGCAGAGGAGATTTTTCAGACGTTTTTGGGTGATCGTGTAATTTATGACAGTCTTCATTCTTCATAGATCTTTTCTAATATTTCAAAAATATTGGATATAAATAGTCGTACGTTCATTTTATTACGGCTGATGGAAAAAAAGAACTCACAAAAACAAAGATATTTTAGTTAATTATTTTTTTCTTTATTTACACTTTTTCATGTAAAATAATTTATCTTTTTAAAATTGATTTTATTTATTTAGTGTTCGAAAAACAGGTTATCGTCAATGTGTTGGTTATTTATTATCAAATACTCGTATAAGACTTGATGATTTCTATCAATTTTATCCAGCTGATAAATTATTTGATTTATTTATAACTGCACAACCAACAAATAATGCAGAAATTTTAACAAAAGAATATGTTAATGTAATTATCAGCATAAAATTCAACATATTTATTTTACTATTATTTCATTGTAGGTTGAAAATTTTCTTCGCGTTTATACAATATTTACTGATCGAAATAAAATTGAAGCAAATGTTCGTAAATCAGCACTTGAACAAATGTCAATGATGTTAAATGATCCATCATTACATTCATCATTTCTTAATCATGGTGGTTTAGAAAGAATTCTTGAAGAATTAAAATTAAATTTAAAACGTGATGATATTGTTTGTTCAGTAAGAAAAACATTTTTTGTGAAACACGATTTAGAAACGAAGTATTGAAGTATAGAGGGTGAAAATTTAGATCAACACATGCTGGCATACGATTCCATACTTTCTATCAAGGACATTTCGATATAATATACGAACTACTTCTTTATTACATTTTTGAAAGACTCTATAATAGAATAATGAAGAAAAGTACCCCAGAATAGATATAGTAAAATCTCTCTATGTGAGCATTTTTTTCTACTGAGCGATCTAGGATTCGGTCCGATTGAATTTTGCTGGCAATGAGTCATAGATCCGTAAGAAATCAAATTTATCCTGTCTTAATTCTATGCTTACACACCCTATCAAGTTATAAGAATATAATAGTCCAGCTAGTTACTTTAGTCCTTTTGGGTGTTGTGTTATTTCAGAAAATAGATGATTATTGGAACTAATAAATTATTGAAAAGAACGACAAGATGACTTTATAAAGTCGAAAGTCGATTACAAGTGAATACTTATCATTTGAAAAAAAAAACAACTAGTGAAAACCTCTTAATAATGAGTATCTCAGTAAATTGGGCACTTCTGATCACTCCTTATGATCCTCACATTAGAGAGATTATATTTTAGAGCAAAATAAAGTTCCTGTGATTAGCGACTGCAGCTAAATCGTATTGTACATTTTAATACTTCAGGGATTGTACTAGCAGCTTTATTTTTCTTTAGACGGATTATACTTCAACTGTTCCAGTATGTACAAAAATAATTCGATTATTAATACAATATAATAGAAATTTACAAAGGAAATTTTCATTAGATAATGATTTACTTAAATTTTTATTTAAAAGTATCAAAAAAAAATTATAAAAATCTATTATATTAATTTAATTTTTGTCATATTTAGTAATTGTTTGTTGTCATAGTGATCTTGAAGTCGTTTCAAATTTAACTCATACATTTGTATTACTTCTTTTTGATCGAACATTACATATGAATTCATTAACAGATCAAGAATTTCAACAACAAACATTTTCTATTGATTTTCTTTTAGCTAAAAAGTAATTGGAAATTTTTCATATAAATTCAATTTGTTGTTTTTTTTTTTTATTGTTTTGAATAAATTAGTTTTCAATTTCCAATTCGTGTTCCAGTTCAAACATCAACTTCATCAATAATAACTACAGCACTTAATCGTCCTGATCCATTACGAGAACCCATTGTTCAACAAAAATTTCGTTTTGTTTGGAACACATTATGGCATGGAAATGTTCAACAATTAGATCGTGATATGGATACACTATCATTTAATAATGATCAACAAGTCGAGTATGTTTGAATTTAATAACAAAATTTAATTGTGAAAACAAAAACAAAATAATAGAGAATTTCTTTTTTTCTCTTTGAAATTTTAGATTTCAAACTAGTATGATATTAAATGAAAATGATCGGAAATGTTTTTCATTAACATATACACGACGAACTATTCGTCTTCAATTAAATTTATTAAATGAATCAAATAACCATGAATCAGTTATTGAAACATTAAATGCAATAAGATGTCTTCTTTTACTTGTGACACATGATAATGTTCATTTAATTGATTTTAACCAATTAGGAGCAATACTTGATAAGTATGAATTAAATCAATTTGAGAAAGATATATTACTATGAAGAAAATGAATATTTCGATTTCATTAAGAGGCCTCTAATAATTCTAGTCGACAGTTGATCTGCAGAAGATTTACGTTAGAAACTTGTGGAGTCATGCAATTTTAACTTCAATTTCGGAAATCTTTTTCCTGTAAATTAGCGACAGCTTACCTGTCTAACTATATTATTTAACTTAAGATAGCATGAAGATGATGAAAATATATCTAATGACGAAAAGTCCTAATAATTTATAGGTCTTAACAATGTAAGTAGAAGCTATCCATAAAAAACGTTCAGAAAAAGGAAGAATGTATGATCAGCTAAAACTGGACAGGCTTAGAAAGAGGAGGTAATGTAACACGTATAGACGCCCGAATGCTTGTTACAAAATTTCTTGAAATTTTGATGTTCAGTAAGTCTTAATAGCGTTTATAAAATATTTCACATCGAAATTCTATAGTGTCTTATTTATAAATGAATGAAGTTTATAAATCGTGAAATGTATGTTTTGCTTTTTTGCCTAATACGTGCTCAAAATGAAGAATCCAATACTCGAGTCCTACCAGATATCTTCGGAAAAACTTGTTGGATGGAACAGGATCTGTAACAATTCGAAGACTTACTTTTTACTAAGTTCTGACTATCCAAAAGTGTCGAAATCTTATTGGAATCTATTAAGATCCAATAGAGATACATATCTTATTGCATCGTCTCATATGCTTAATGAGTAAGACTGTGATTTAATATAAAAAAGTCAAATTTTAAACACTGGATGAGCAACGAAAGGGAAGGATCAGACATCCTTTATTGATATCCCCATATCAATATTCATTTCAACGTTCGATAGAGAATGACAATTTATTTTCGTAGTTAGAGGATTGCTTTCTTCAACCTTATCTACCATCTTTTATATCCTATCGAAAGATGAAATCAGCAGCTGGATGAATCTGATAAAGATAAGTCTTATTGATCTATCATTCCAACAATTTATTAATTTTCTATTAAAAACATCACATCCTTTATCATCTAAGAAAACTCGCGATCTGTCATTTGTTTTCTATTGTCTAGATATTTTAAAGTGGTTCCATCATCATGTCAAGACGAAAAACTTCTTCAATCAGTATTCGAACTTCTTGAACAGATCTCCTATGGTTTACATCTATCAATAGAAAATGCTGATCATCAATTTTTCAATTGGTTTAAACATATATTATTACATCCTTTTATATCATTACTTGCATCAAATAAAGATTTTATTGAAATGCGACAAACAAAAAGGTTTTTTCTTTCCATTATTTTCATGTTGAAAAAATATTTAAATTCGGTGGTTTTTAGAGATTTATTAAAAAAACTATTTCGATTTTTATCATCATTTTATTCACATTCAATTGTGTCATCGGAATTTTTTACTGATAAACTTTTTTCAAATATTTTAACTTATGTACAACAAAGTAGTAGTCATACATTTTCGAAATTAACATTAATAACTGGTGCTATGGATGTTTTACATCATATTACGTCAAAGTAATGAAAATTAGATCTTTGATTTAAAAGTTATATTTTCAAATAGATCGAAATGGTTTGTCATATTTGATAATGAATATCTTCAACAAATGGCTGATCTATTGATTGCCGTATGTTATTTACTTTTTCGTATATTAGAGTTTAACATAAAGTCCAGAGATTTCAAGAGAAAAAGAGACCCAAAACTCAAATTTCTCAATTTGTCTTACCTGGAACAAGAACAGTCGGAATTGAAAATTCTTTCTAACAATAGCTATTCTAGTAAATGTACTGAATTCAGAGTATCTACTCTATATATTCGAAAACTGTTCTATACTGTAATATGTCAAAGAAGATTTTTCGTAATTTGTTCACTGAAAGCAATTGTTGGGTGATAGCCCAGTGAAAAATTTTCATGCAATAATCATGATTATTTTCGATTATAGACTAAATAGTTTGATTTTTCGTCCGAAAATCAAATTTTTTAGANCTATTGGAAATAGTAATTCAGTGTACAGTCTGATGTGTGACAGTTAATCTTTTTTTTTGTTCTATTAATAGGCTACTTTTGATTCAATAAAGAAAATAAGAGATATGAAATAATATGAAATGAAAAAGAAAACATCAGTTTGTACATCAGTTACCGGAGCTAGTTTACAGATACCATTAGCTCAAAAAGCTTAAACAAATTTCAATTTTAAGTTGCCGAGCTCGAAAAACAAAATCAGTAACTAACAAAAAAAACTTGTAAGTTTTTGCCATAAAAGTCCTATTAGAAGGCCACCCTTAATAGAAGGCCACCCTGAAAAGTCTGATGTGAATTTCCATAATAGAAGGCCATGGCCTTTTATTCTGGGGGGGAGTTTAGCAGTATTAGTTAGAGAAGGATAAAGTAAAAGAATGAAGAAGAAAAAGAAAATCACAGGCTCCTCCTAGACTTTCTTTACACTCTTCGTTCAATTAGTTATTACTGATTCGTACTCACTGAAAAATTATTGTTCTGATCTGTATGCTTTCTAGTATCTCTGTTGTCGATTGTAAACACTCGTCATCATCTCATTTTTTTCACATTGCCGTCTTCGAGTGTCGGCAACGATGGTTAATCCAGACAATCTTCAAGCGGGTCAAATTGAAAGAAAACTACAATCGAAAGAATTCTTTTTGGTCAAAACCATCAAAGTCAGTTACGAGCTTTGGAACAAAGACATCTCGTTAGTTGATCAAATCAATTCAATGGGTATCCAGGAAGTGTTTGAGGAATGGGTCTCGTACAATCACTGTTTTACAGTTTTTCGAGCTTATTCGAAGTCAAATGCTGATCAGCACTGTAATAATTACGGATTGAAACCTTTTCATGCTCATCTCAAAGAATGCAAGTAAAACGGAGCAAAGTTCTCAACAGCAATAATTCGTCGATGGCGGTCGATCCTTCTTCGAACTCAAATACTCAAACATCGATCACCAAACTTGCTTACAATAAAAACCAAATAAGTCAAGATTTGGTGGCAAAACTCAAAGACTGATCTTAAATTTTGTTACTGCTGGATCCCATTCATTCAGTTCTTTGAAGAACGATGGCTTGCTTGATCTCATGGAAATTAGCATCGAGATTGGTGCTAAAAGTGACTTGCTCAACATCAAAGATATATTTTACGGACGTAAGACCATTCGCCAAGAAGCACTGGCAAACTTTGAACTGTTCATTTCATCGATGCATTCTGTTCTCGAAGAATCCATCAAGCGACATTGTGTAGCGGCCACATGTCACATGTGATATGTGATCCGATGACATAATCAAACGATCATATCTCGACTTCACCATCTTTTCAACTGACGACTTCCAACTTTATCACACTTTGCTGCGCTGTAAGTATTTTTCTCAGGAATCAAAAACTTCAGTGAACATCTGAAAAGAAATTGAAATGATATTTCAAAGCTTTAATCTTTCTTTTGGAGACACACTCGTCATTTCAGATCAAGGAGCCAACATGGTCGTCGTCACCTTCAAACTAACTGATGAAGCTTGTTCTTCTTCCATGGCCCACCGGTATATCCAACAAAACAACCAGAAATAGTTGTTAATGAAAATTTGTTAAAATATTATAGAAATTAGTATTTTGGCATTTACAAAAAGTATTTTTCTTTCAATAGTTATATAATGTAACTTGAATAACATTGAGGGAATGACAAAGTTTGGCGTTAATTATCATATTTGATCATGATAATCAAGTATTATCTGAATTGTTACCAGCGTACGTCAGCAATAATACACATTGACAGATTTAATAATTCGAGACGAGTTTCTATATAATTATGTGACTTACTTTAATATATTCACTCTTATCTTTCTAACAACGAACATCAATCATTAAGTTAACGCATGACAAGAAAAGATAATGTGTCAAATTTATTATAAAAGTGAGGAAACTAGGAAAAACAAAAGATTAACAATGACCGAGAAAAGGGTTTTTTCCTCTTTACTCATTGAGAAATACATGGAAAGTTATTTATACATTGCAGAAAAAAATGGAATTCGTGTATATCGAGTATTTCTTGTTATATGGTTGAATGAAAAACACACACTTGAACACAAAAAATAATATTTATATCATAAATATATATATAATTCATATCTTAATGTTTAATATTTAACCTGTAAATTTTTGAAAAAGAAAGAAATCATTCTTTTAAGATTGTATTTCATTATCATTTCGAAGAGATTCATTTTCTTTTTTTTCGTCATCTTGCTTCTTACTAGTGATAGATTCATAAGGTTCAATTTGATTTGTTGTAATTTTTGATTTTGGTTGATAGTATTTCAAAGCATTATTCCATTCATCACGTGGAAATCGCATATAAAAAGTAGAAATAACTAAAAAGTAAAAAGAACACAAAAAGTGTATATTTATTTTTTTTTGCTATCAATTTACTGTCGTCTTCATTAATTGTTGTCGTTTCAGTCATTTTTGTCTATTTGAAAAACAAACAAACAAGAAAATAAAAATAAGCTTTATAAAAATTAATTTACTTGAATGTAATTTTCAACAAGATCAAGTGACATTTCAGTTTGAAGAATTGCTCGTGTTGTCTCACAATCAAATGAACAAGCAATTAATGTTGGAAAAAGTATATCCATATATTTTGATTCAACAAAATAACGAAATGGTAAGCATGATAATTGTTGTAATACAGTTGGTCGATTACCAAAAGCTAAACGACACTAAATAAAAAACAAGAATTTTTTCTATATATATTTGAAATAAAATAAAAACTTACTTGATTATCTTGATTTAAAACACAATAATAACCAATAAGAAGAATAATTTGACGAAGAAGGTTATCATTCATTGTTGTTTGTTGATGATTACAATAAGCAAGAATATAGTTTGCAACATGTCGAAGTTGAAGTGAGATTGTTTCTTCACCAAGAGTTGTCTAAAATCGAGATGAACTCTTCACAATAAAAAATAAAAAACAATTTTTTTTCTAACTTGAAATGCATCAAGGTCAAGTATTGCAAGTGTATTCAATAAAATCATTGAATTAATTACAATAATAAATGTTTTTTCATGTACAGTTATAGTACTATTATTATCATTGTTCATTTGATTATTACTATTATTATCTGTTTCATGAATAAGAATACCATAGAGTAATGAGAGTATTTCACAAAAATTTGTTGATTTCATTATATTTAATACTTGTGCTGGATCATTCGTTGATTTTTTTGATGGTTGACCAAATGGCACTTGGCATACTCTAATTACAGATATGACATGTTTTTTGTTTAATAAATTAAAAAACAAAAAAAAAAGAGAGTGTCTACTTTGGCTTAGAAAAATGTATCATTTGTTGTACGAGATTAAGTAAATGAATAATCATATCAGGCACACGCGATTTTGTTGTATTAACAATAGCTCGAGCTGTACGAAAGAACGATGCTATGCGATCAAGAACGCCAACATTAGCCATATAACTTATAAAATAAGAATACAAAAAAAACAAATAATGAATAAGTAAACTTTTATTTACCTAATAAAATCAGTTAAACGACTTATTGTTATTTTATCTTCATTATTTTCATTTTCATGTTTTCGAATATCTCTTGCTATTGAATTATACATTGTAAGAAGATCAGCAAGTAATTCAGCTAGATTTGTTACTAAATCAATCTGAGCTAAATTTTCGCTTTCACTTTGATCAATATTTATTGTTGTTAAATCATCGATTTTCAAAGCCTAAAATATTCAAAATATTTTCATAGATCTACAAGAAATTGAATTTATTCTGCTTTAGATTTCTATCACTTTAGGGTGTGGGTGAGGCAGAGTTTCTATTCCACCCACACCACAAAAAAGGACTAAAGAGAACAAAATTTATTAACGGCATAGTAGCTTGAAAACTCGTAATGTAAAACGATATCAATTTTAATTTCTCGTGTACGTCTGTAATTATTACTTACCGTTAAATGTCGAACTAAACTTTCGACAAGTGTTAAAATTTTGCCACTATTCAATATATACAGTGCATTATCCAGATTATTATTTGTGGCTGCTCGATAAACTGATATGGTCAATGCTATGAGACTAAATTTATCTAATAGATTAAAATATTTTATAATTCTTTAAATACGAATACCTTTCTGGTGCAAGAGCTGGTTTATTACATTCTGCACGTAATTCAATCATTCTAGTCAATGTTGTATAACCATTTAAACTAAAAAAAACACGTTGTTCAAGTGGTGAATCCTACAGGCATAATTAAATTAATTTATGAATATTCTTTAAAAGTATATGTATATAACCTTTTCATAACCATGTCTATCGAAAATCTTAACAAATTCAGTAAGAATACGTTGACATGTTAAATAATTCGTTGTATTTAATGGTTCTTTTCTTGCTGTTGTATTTAGTGATTTTTCTAATTCATTTAAAAATCGCTGAATACTAATAACAAAAGAAAAATAAAACATGAATATATTATTTCAATGTTTAAACCGAACTTCTCTTTACCGTGCTTTATGGGTTGATGTCAAAAAAGGTCGTTGAGCATTTTCAGCTTCATATGCTACCGAACTAGAATGAAATATATCAAATGTGATTTGTTTTTTTTTTATTTAATCTATTTTACCGTTGAGTCATTCGAAGACGTAATTTTTTTGCTCGTTTTTTCATTGCATGTTTTCGTTCTCGATTATAAGCCATTTCTTGTCGTACAATATCATCATTGGTAACAACTGTTATACATTCAATATTAAATGTATCCTACAAAACAACTTGTTTTGATTCAAGAAAAGATGAACATATAATCTGTATACAATATCTTCTTGTTTTGGTTGTTTTTTTGTTCCATTGTCATGCTTTTGATTCAATCGTTCGATTAACAATTGATTATGACGTGTACCACGTAAATGTGTTTGTAAATGAAGATCAGAAGCTAGCTAGAAGAGAAAATAATTTCATCAATATTACAATATGTTGTCCAAGTAGAAAACAGAAAAAAAAGACCAACACTGACCAATAGATTACAAAGTGTACAACATTTTCGAGTTGGTATTGGATCTTCATTTGCAGGAATACTAGTTGTTGTTTTATTATCATTTGATGCAGGTGATGCATGATGATGATGATCTTCAGCACTCGGACCACGTAATGTACCCATTTCAATTGCTTTTCGACGGATTTCTTCGAGTTGTGTTATGTGTCGTCGAGCACTTTCTTCTTGCTATAAACAATAAACATGAATATATATATATATTCTTCGATATAGTAACAAAGGATCGAACTTTTAATGTCAATTTCTTCTTTAATTCAATAGTCGATGCTTTGAGATAAGCCACATGTTCAGCTCGCTTTTGTTGAAAACTCCTAAAATGCAAATGTACATATCAAATTTTCATGACTCCGAATATAATGATGATTAGCTTAAAAATTGTGCAGAAGATATCTCCATCAACACAATGATCATAGTTCTGTTATTTCTATTCAGTAAAAGGTTCGTATCTGAAACTTATGAATAGTAATGTTTCAAAAAGAGGACCCGAAATTCTCGAATCCAGTAAACAGAGAACTTTTAGTCTCGAGCCAGAACTTTACCGAGTACAAGTTAAATTAGACTAGCTATACTCAAAAGACAAGAGATGGTTTTTCTTTACATCAATAGTCATAGAAAGGATTCCCGAACTTCAATGACATTAGTTGTATCGACAATTGAAGCATAGCATTAGATAATCAGCTGTCGCTACCTAAAAGAAGCCTTTTTTCAATGGTCACTATCCATCGCCATTCATGGTAATTCTCTTTGTTATTACACTATGGAGAGATAGACATGTGTTGCTGATCAACATTTTTAGCTTAAAGACAAAACTCTGAATTTACTTTTGTTTAGCAATAGCTGCTGTTTTTTTTTGTTTACGTTTTTCAATTAATTGTTGTTCAATCATTCTTTCTTTTGTTTTCCATTTTTCTTGCATTTCATTAAGACGTGTTTGTCGGATAGCTTCTAATTCTTTTCGACGATTTTCTGCTGCTAATTCACGTTGTTTATGTTCATCATGTTTTTTAACACGTTCTTCTTCAAGAAATAGTTTAAATTGTTCTTCTTTTTGATAACGTTCTTTTAATGTTTGTCGACGATTTTCCTGTTGTAATAATTTAATAAAAGCTATTTCTTGTCCTTTTAAATCTTCATCACCAGCTTTTTTAGCTTTTATAAATAATAAATATTGACGTTTTTCTTCTGCTCGTTGCATTTTCATTTCAATAGTTGTTTTACGTGCTTTAATTAATTCTTCTTTCCATTGACGAACTTCGTTGACCTGCAAACAAGAAAAATTTATAGAATAAATTAATTTGATAAACTCTGTTTTTGTTTTGTTTTACTCGATGAGTTAATTCACGCATTTTTCTTGCTTTTTCATCTCGTAAAGTTTGACGTCTTGTAAATGCTCGCGCTACATCAATGATATTAGATACACAAAAAAAAAAGATTTATTTTAGATACCTTGACGTTCAGCTGCTTCACGAAGAGTTTCACTGAGAGGTCTAAATAATTCAGAAATGATTAGATCAATGTGATAAAATAGATATAGAGCAATACCGGATACGTGAAGGTGATGATAATTTTTCATGTATGCGAAGATGTTTTGTTCGAGATTTTCCATCAGGCTCAGAATCATTATCATCACGCGATAGATCATTTGGACTTAAATCTTTTTCATCACAACCATCTTGTAGTGACATAAAATAACTTGAAGTTTTTGTTGTCTAGATACAAGAAAAAAATAGATTATTTAATTAAATCATGGGTGCCCCATAATAAATGACCGATCTTTACACCTATAAGAATATATATATATTCAATTTATTTATTTGTTTTTTTGACTTATGCGAAAGGTGGTTCGTGAAGGTACAGTGAAACGATACCAACATTTATACAGAATAATAGATATAATTGATTTGAAAAAACTTATTAGTGGACATATAATTATGCGGGCAAAAATTCTTATTCAAAAAGCAAAGAATAAGTTTATTTACAGGAATCCGCAAAGTGCAAGAAAGTTAGCCTAGTCATTTAGTATTTCCAACGAACACAAACAAGATTTTCTGATGAAAAATACTTTGAATTGGATGATATGTTCAATCGTCAGAATGGCCATATTAATGTTCCATGTTGACAAGACGTAGACGAACACGAAGGAATAAGAACAACAACCAAATTGACAAAAAAAAAGAACTATGGAATGAGTCGTGTTGTTTTTCACAATACACCAACTGAAGGTCAGCGACTGTTAGGGGATGATTTTATCTATCAACAAGACAACACAAGGTCGTATACGGCCAGCAATACCGATCGTGTGATAACTGCATAAAAACTGTCGTTTACAGTAATTAACGATGACATGTAATGATTGAACTGAGCAGCATGCATTGAAATCAACTTGACTCAATTCATCGACGAAAATAAATAGCCGCTTAATAGGCTGTATCTCAAAATTTCGGATTATCATGTGTAAGATGCTATTTGATCACATTATGCGCTGAGATAAAGTCAAAAGCTATAACTCCCTAATGAATGAAATAAGACAAGGTATTATTCGTGTACCAAAAAATGGTCTCATTGGTAGTGTCAAAAATTGGTCAAGTAGAATATTTTTTTCTGCAAACTATAGTATTATCTATGTTGTATTCTATGACATATTTTGATTTTAAATAACCTATATCAGATACTATAAAGATTAAAAGCAAACACCGGTCATTTATTATAGGGCATCCGTTAATTTCTTTGTCTTTGAATTTTAGTTACCGATAATTCACTTTCTTCTAATTCTGATCCATCATCACCACCTAATAAAAAATCATCATCACTAACATTATTCAATTGATGTTCAAGATCTTCTTGTTCAGCCATTAATGAAGCTATTGTTCGTTCTTGCTCAGCTTCTAATGCTTCAGTTAATGATTCTTCTTGATCGAATGCATCAAATATTTGCTAAAAGAAAATCATTTAAACATTGACTATAATTAAAACTTACTCGATCCATAAAATCCATCATTCCACAATGATTTCGTAAGAGGAGTTCTTCATCATCATCTTCTGATGTTAAATTTTGTTGACTAAAACGATAAAGTGATGTTGTTGATAATTGATGATGATATCGATGAGGTCGATTAGTGTTGACTGATTCATCTCGAATATCTTTCTCATCATCAGCATCACCTGCTGTTTCCTCCGTTAACATTCGTTTTGATGACAATAATAATTGATTTGTACTTGCAATTAATGTCGTTGATGAATCATTTGTTAATGTTATTGATGAAAATGATGATGGCAATGAAAGTAAACTTGAAGTTTCTGTTGTTTTACGACATTTATTAGATTTTTGTCGTTTAAATTTATTCGTATCCATTAAATAATGATGAATAGCTTTATTTACATTTAAATTTATATCACTGTTATGTAAACATTTTTGTCGACGTGATAAACCATCAGAAGAAAATATTTCGCCTAATTTAAATACAAAATAGAGAAAAAACAAACAAACATGTTTCATAATTGAATTTTTTATTAAATTTACCGTTACATATTGATTGAGAATGTTCAAATGGCCTGAAATAAGAATATTAAGAGAGTTAGTTGATTTGAAAAATATTCAGATTTTTAGTTTGTTAAAATTCATGAAAGAATCAGGCGAAAAAGCAGATATGAGAGCATAATATATCGAATAAACAACCTGAAAGGTAATATTTCTGTTTCAAATGGTAATGTGATTAACGATTGACTAAGATAGTCTCTGAAAATGTTAAAAATTGAGAAAAAAAATTTCTTATTTTAATTTCAAATTTTTCACCTTTCAGTTTCGTCGATTTTATTATCAAGATTTTGTATATGTTGAAAATTTTTCATAAGTATATCAAAATCTTTACAATATTGACAAAGAAGTTCTATAACTTCCTAAATATAAATAAATATTTTCGATGTAATAAAAACAGAAGCAAAACAATAATTAAAATAATTATTACTTGACATTGCAATGGATTTTGATCTGATTCACATGTTTGATAGATTTGTTCAATAGATCGTTTTAAATTGTCAAATAAAAATATCCAATAACGTGAATGAAAATTTGATGATATGGTATCAGATTGTCGAGTTGGAATATCATTATTTGAGCTTCTATGTATTTTAAATTAGAAGATACATAAACATTTCGATAAATCATTATTAGAGAAAGTATAGTACAAGAGACATGACATTTATATGTTCAAAACTTGATGAGTTAAAAGAAAACTATCGGAATCATTTTTCGAATTTCTTTTTTAGCATGTTCAATAGAGGAAGTTGAAAAAAAAACTTTATCTTACTCCCCTTACTACAATGGAGGCATCTGTATTGTTGGTTAATATTACCGAGTTGCTTAAAAAACGTATGTGTGAAATCAAACCAAAAAAAAAATGTTCGAGATGCCATCATTTTCAAAATATAAGACAATATAAATCTGAAATTCTGATTTCTGTAAAATTTCTTTTGTTTGATAAGAGAGTACTTTACATATAGCTCGATTTGTACATCTCAAGAACATTTTATATTTTAAATTTGTTAGTTTGAATACAAATATCTCGATTGTTAGAATTTATTCAAGAAACAATTATTTCTGAATTATTTTAATTCAAAATAGATACATAATAGAATCAAATTATTTTTACCGATTTGTATCTTGTGATAATAATTCCTGTTTTTGTGTAGAAATATTTGTCATCTATAAATAAAAAAATCTATAGTCATCATCTTGAAAATAATTAGCTTAGTTTGCTTCGAATGAACTTATTGTTTTTATTAGGAATGTTTTTTTCTTCGATCCACAATGAGCAATAAAGTATACTACACTGAATGAAAAAAAAACAGAAAGATGTAGCACATAATAATTTGTACTATTCGCGATGCACTTATACAAAAAGAAAGAAAAAAACACCCAATGAAACATCCGATCTGACTAGTCATCAGTATGTTGAAATAGATTAGCTAATCCATGGTCATCGTCATTATCTGTATTTAATGGTTGATGATGTTGTAAAACAGGATGAAGTGAACGTTTTGAAAAACGTACTAATGGTGGTAAATTATTAAGTGCTAATGGTTCACGTTTAAACATTTGTGCTACATTTTGACCCATTAATGGTTGTACTAATTGTTTCAACATATCTCGTTTTTGTTTATCACTTAAGGGTTTACCATTGATTTGTCGTTGCATTTTATCACGATAATTATTTACTTGTTCATTTGTAACATCAGGTATTTCCATAAGTACACTATCAAATAAATTTGATGATGTTTGTTGAAATGTATCATACATTAATATAGCTAATGAAAGTAATGTACAAACAATTGGTTCATTATCACCATGAATTTTAAGTGCACATAATATATATATATAAAGTTGTCTTAAAAAATCATTATTACCATTTATTAATATCGAAAGATGTTTAATTAACGATTGACATATGTGTGACATTTTTGTTATTGATGATGTATCTGGCCATGAAAGTCCATCGAAAAGACTTAATAAACAATATTGACAAATTATTGATGAATCTTGTAAAATTTTTAAACCGAATTCACTTGGTATTTGTTGATAACGAGATTGTGTGGTTGATTTACGTGAAAGAACATCACCAATATTTTGTTCATCTGTAGTCATTGTTTCATCCATACTTGTTTCATCGATATCATTACTATTGGTTATTTGGCTTGTATTATCATTACTATTGCTTTGACATATTAATAGATTTTTAATTACATCAATAAAATCACGAGTTAAATAACATGTTACCTATCAGAAAAAAAAAAAAACATTAGTAACTTTATGTTGAATGAAACATATCAATTAGGGATGTGTCTTTGTTCTATATTGTGTATTTATATGAATCTAGAGTGAATAAGTAAGTAAACTCTAGTGAGATTTGTTGGGATAGTTTTTTTGTAATTAGGAAAAGAAAATTTTGAAGATATTGTTGATTGATCTTATTCTCTTGATAATAAGAATAAGTCTTAAGAAAAATATCAAACATCTGTTACTTCAATTACGAACATCAAACTAGTGTATAAAGGATTTTCTTTGGTCAACTCTAAAAGTTCAACTTTCTTACTTGTTCTTCGATAACTTCTTCTTCACATCGATCTTGTGTTTGATAATTATCATCATTATTTTCATGAACATTTCCATTAGTTACTTTAATACTTTGTCTTTCAGTAATTATTTTCCATTTATCTTTTAATTTTGTATATATAAATGGAAGTAAAGATTCAAATATAGCAATAATCATTGTCTTAATAGGACAATGTCGAATAAATGGTAAAAAACAGTAACGAATTATGTTTCGTAAACGAAAATTAGGTAAATGATCAAGTGATGAAAATAAAGTTGTACCAATTATATTTAAAGAATCTTTTAATTTATATAAATCAGGTTTTAATGTTAAATAAATTCCAATTAAAATTTCTAAACGATCAAGAAATGATGAAAAACGATTATGCAAACGACGATCATTGACGGATAAACTTAATGAATTGGTTTGAATGGATGATATATTAATGTCGTCATTATTATCTTGTTGTTGAAGATAAACTGCTTTTTCGGCGTCAGTCATTGTTGATAGAAATGATAATGACGATTGTGATAATGGAGAAGTCGGAGAATGTAATGCATGACAATAAGTTAATAATTTAAATAAGGAATGAGTTAACTGAATAAAAGCAGGTGCAGCTGGATTACGAATAAATATAATTCCATCGAAAGTTTCTTGATAACCACCATTAGAACATATTGAAGGATCGCTTGGAAGACTTATACGACGTAAGAAACCACAAAGAATATGAACACTGAGAAAAATTAGACGTTGATTACTTGTTGATGTTGCTATAAATAATCAAAATAAAAGAATGCATATGTTGCAAATTTTGATATTAATCTCTCATAGAAAAAACTATCTGTTTTAGAGAACTGCTAAAAATACGATTAAAAACAAGCAAAATTGTTCATATTGATGATTTAACTGTAACAGTAGAACAACTATTAACCAAAAAAAAAAAATAGATGAAAATTTATTGATCAAATAAGGAAATTATCGTAACTGAATTGATCATTTTTATCAAACACTTTGTTCTTTGATACGATCATATAGATAGGATATTTGAAAACGTCCGATTTTTTTCTTAAATATTTAAAACGAATATCAACACGTCAATTTTTAATAGTTTCAGTAAATAGAGCTCGTCGTACTAATTCTACGAAACACCAATGGATATCGAAAATCCTTAAATCAAAGAAAATGATTTCTGATGCATGCTGTTTTTTTCAAATCTATGAAAATACGAAGGATGCATTTTTGTACTGGTATTTTATACAATTCCACTTGGTATAGATTTAATCAGAGATAACACCGGTACCGGCTATCGGCCGATGTGTTTTATCTAGCGTGGAACTGAGGGAGTGGAACCTCTCCGAAGATCTGGTTCATTCTCCAGAAGTTTTAAATCGTCCTAGAGCAAAAGAAAATCTGGATAAAGTACTGATGTAATGAAACTTTGTTGAAAGACAACCATGTCAAATGCCACTATCCAGAGATAGAATAATACGGCAACCCGCCAGTCCACCGCCGGTCTGGTCTACTCAGACTGGCACCATCTCTTGAAGTTAGCAATTCATAACATTAGTGTCATAAGAAAGAATAACGAAAAAAATGTTCTTTGTATTTTTTGAACTTAAGTTTAGGCCTTCTTATTGAATAAAACATTATCAATTTTGTAGAATCAATTCGACGAGCTCTATTTTTTGAGACTATCACGAATTGATTTATGTATGATCAACTATTTTGCTAATGTTTATATAAAATAATTCAAAGAAGTTAGAACTATTTTTTTTGTCATACCATCGGGTGTTGTTTTTAATCCAATATAATCAATAAAACTTTTTAAATCATTAACATTTGAATTAAAATTATTCAATATTTGTGCAAAAGGTTGAACAAGTTCATTAATAAAAATAGCTTGTTGTTGAAATGATTCAAAATGATTTAATAGAATAGCTAAACATTCAACTAATACACTCCATTGCCAACCAGAAAGTTTCGTTTGTTGTTCTAATGATGTTTGTTGTCGAACTAAATCTTGTGTTACTTTAAATAAATCATTGAAATAAATAAATATTGAATGACCATAATTCAAACAAAGATCAATTAAACAACTTGCTTGTTTTTGTAAAGGATTTAATTTTGATATTATATGTCGTTCAGTGGTTATCGTACGAAATAAATGTTCAAGTATACGTTGTGTCCATGTATTTTCACCGCGTGTAAAGACATATAAATTTGTTAATAGACGCAATGAATAAGCAAGAAATTCAAGATTACTATCGTTATTTATCAATAATAATTGTTCAATTAATCTTTGACCATGTTGACAAAATGATATTTCATCTGTATTCGAAAGTAATTTTGAATTATTAAATGCTTCAAATGGTTTTAATAATGATCGTAAATGTTTTTCAATTATTTGCCAATAAGCAACAAGTGATTCGAAAAGAAGAAGATTTTGAATATTTACTGATTGAAAACAATAATCAGCATAATCAAAACCAATTCGTATTGCTATTGATAAATTTTTACTTGTTTTGCATACACTATTAATCGATCGAATTAGAATAGCACGATTTTTACCGATAAATTTCTGATAATCAGATTCATCTTCAAAGTCATAATGAGTATAATGCGATGCAACATCTATTAAAATATGAAATAATTAATTTTCATAAAGAATATATCTACAGTTCTGAATAAAGGTTGTCACTTCGCATGAAATTTTACTATTCTTTATGATATTAAGTTGATATTTTGGATTCATGTGTTCGATAATAAATTCTGATCACAAGGACCAACCCGTTCGTATTGAAGTTATGACTCAGAGATCATTTTGTTACAAGCCTCTCATTCGAAAGGCTATTGTTACAAATATGTTCAATCTGAATTTCGTTAGAAACTACTTCAAAATAACTAACAAAAAGATCTCTTCAAGTATCAGGTCGTTTTTTGGCGGAGATAATGTGCATTTAACGAGTGCTAGTGAGTGATAGAACGAACAAAATTCTCAATGAGATCAGTTTATTGGACAAGCTGTAACTTTTCTACGTTGTACCTTGTATCCTGAGATATGCAATATTCGAAATTCTCTCACGTATAAAAGCAAATTATATTCATATATTTATGTCTTCAGAGAGGAAATAGTAAAAAAGCTAAAACATATACAATCAATTTCAACAGCTTTTTGCTGAAAAATTTCGTGAAATTTCGATATCTTAAGAACGGAGCCAAGAAAAACCAAGTCATTCTAGACTTTTTCATTAGTCATCATATAAACATCGTCTCAGTTGAAATGCAATCTGACACCTGCAGAAGTTGCCTCATAAGATATTTATCAATTCGTTTGAAAACTTCAGTAGACACTTCCCATAAGACGACAAATCTGTTCTGAAAATTTTAGAGCTCGCAGCATTGAATGAAGTCGATTTAGCACTACAGAATGAGTTCACTATCTCACAGTGTACTAATTATTCAGTTCTTGACTATGTATCACCGACTTTGATGATAATAAAGCAAACATATGGCCTTGTATTTAGCACTAGAAAAAAAACACTGTAGTAGCTTTTGAAGCGCATAGTTTCAGTGAATATGTTTTTCACAGAGGAAATAGTATATGTAAACCGATGGAGAGTGGATTGATATCTATGATCTACCTAAAATATTAGTTGAATATCATAAAGAATAGTATCACTTCATGCTCAAACGCCTACTTTTATTCAAGAGTATATTTAAGTGAACAAGATATGAGTAACATTTTTTCATGATTAAGTAAAAAGAAAAGAAAAAAAAATCATAGATAAAACATGCATGACTTAATCTAGATGTACAAAATAAATATTAATATATTGAACGTGACTTAATGATATAGAGTTTTTGAAAATGTTGTTGAGGAGAGTGCAGTTCATACGCAAAGAAAAAATAAAAGTGAACTTTATTTTAAATCAGAGTCTCATCAAAAACGGGGTTTAGTAGTATAACTGGTGATTCATAGGACGATAATATTCTCTAGAATAATTGATAGTTTCACAACCTTAAGTTTATTTGGGTACTTCTATGAATAATGGTTCATAAAAAAACAAAGTTCTAAGGACATTTTTTGCCCATCAGATTACGTGGAGCTATCTAAATTTATTATTTTACTAAAAAAATTTCAATTTGACAAATAAATAACATTAGTATGTTGACTCGACTACCACCATTAATTCGTCAAATTTCGAATTTCTTTTACTGATATTATCTGTGTAGATAGCTCGAATGGATGGAAAAATGTCGAAAGGGAAAAATATCGAAAATAAAAATGTCGAAAACAAGAATATGAGACAAAAATGAGTATGTAAGATTGAATTGAGGGTGAGAGAGACTTGTACTTCAATATACTCTCGTTTTCAGCATTTCTATCCATCGACATTTGTATTATTTTTGTTTTCGATATTTTTCCTTTCTGCCTTTTTCCATCATACCGATAGCTCCACAGTCTGATAAACGAAAGAGTTTTCTAGATCAGTTATTGTACTGTAAAGTACAACTCATGGTAGGTTACAAACCGATTAAAGCGGTAACTAGCTGAATCCGATAGAATTCTGATTGTTCAACTTTAAAGATAGATATCATTTGATTTTAATCTTTCTTAATCGATTTTTAAAAGAACCACTTTCAATTGATATTAACTATATAAGTCGATCAAAAAAAGATTGAAATCAATTGAAATCTATATTATTCTGATTGTTTCATCAAAATTTCATATATAAATTTTACACCTTACAACTAATAACAATCAGAAATCTATATTATGCGAAAGTTTCAAAAGTTTCATTTAGTCAATAAATAAAAGTCGAACGCTTATTTAGCTCAATGACATTCCTTATCTACACACACGACCAAATACACTACTAACTGCATTAAGTACCATGAGTGTTTCTGCTGTGGAAGAGTGTAACTAAAAAACAGTAATCGATGTGATACTATGAAATCGATCAGCAAGTATTTTACTCGTGAAAGCTTAAGTCAATAAGTGATAATCTTCAAGAAGTCGAAGTATCCACGAACGCATCTTACTCTATCGATTCAATAAGTAACTCGACTTATCTTTCATGGAAATGTTATGATAGATCTTATTCAGCTTGTAATCACTATGATAAAAAACTTCAAACAATATTCTAATAATAACGATCATAGTGATCGCTGAGTTTCGTCGTATGAAAATCTTTTCGGTATAAGAAATATATAGTTTTAATAGTACGTTTCTATGTTGAGTCGAGCCAGTACAGACTGGACTAGAGCACCAATGGTTGGCCGTAGAAAGACCAGAGGAGAAAATATCGAAATTAGAAAAATATTAAAAAACAATATCTCTAAGGTAAGTGTGGATGACAATGTAAATGAAAAGAAAACTACGAACGACATTCACATTCTTAGCTGAAATTTTTGACCGTTCTATGACATACCCAATCATCAAAATATTTCTAATATATTAAGTGTCTTATTTTAAGCTTAAAAGGTGATTAATTTCGAGTTATTAGGTATATTTGCAAACATATACTTATTTTTTCATTAAGTATGATAAATTCAGGTCGAATAATCTAAACCTTAATTATATAGATATAGATAATAAATGTAAAGTATGCAAATAAGGTTATTTTTTTTTGTTTGCGAAAAAAAACTAAAGAACCAAACCTATTGACATTACTCAAGGTCAGAGTATACAGAAGTTAAAACTTATTTAGACTATATCGCCCTTAACCCGCAATAATATTGTAAGAGGGTACAGATCAATTTTTCTTTCTCAAATATTTCTTGTGACATTCTATTTACCTTGTTCAATGTCATTTTTCTTATATGGTTGCTTAACTAATGAATGACATAAAGCTCGAAGAACAATAGGTAATATATTTTGATAATCATTCTCTTGAAATATATTAGCTTTAATTAGTTGTAACCACATTTGATAACCATATAATGATATATAAATACTTGGATGTTGCATTAATGTTAATAATACTTGTAAGAATTTACCATTGGAAAATTGTTCTGGTAATGGAGCTTTTTTATTTGAATCATCACCACCGCATACATAACATAATTGTTCACATAATGCTGTTATAATCATAGCATATTGTTTCATAAAATCATATATATCATTTGATTGTTGCGTTTTTATTACTGAATATAAATCATTATAATGTGAACCATTTTGAAATAAATATGAAAAAAGTTGTAATAATGGTAAACGTTCTTCATATTTGCCACGACGATCTGAAATTACACTTAAAAATTCAGCTGCTTTCATTCGATGTATGGGTGAGTTAAGTAAATAAACAATTTTATCGATAATTTTTGTTGAAAAAAATATATCAATTGGAAGAAACGTTGCAAACATTGTTAATGCATATAATGAACTTGATATTGTATTTGGTAAATCAAGAAAATAATCAATAAATTCAAGAAGTTTAGTATCATGTTGTAATAATGTTGTTTGAATATCTCGTTTACGTATTGAATTTAATGTTTGAAGAACAATAACATCTTCGATAAGATAAGCTAATATTAATAATGAATAATCATTTGTTGAATTTAATTTTGATAATGCAACAAGTTCATCAAGAAATAATGGCCATTGCTGAGGCCATTCACGTTTAGCTATTTCACAAACACAACGAACTAAAATTCTAAACAGAAAAAAAATTGTTTTCTTTCTAATATTTTCGTTTTGGTATTTATTTAGCAGGTGTTCCGCACTACAAAAAAAAAGCTGTTCCATCTTCTCATATTATATAATAAACAGAAGATAGAAGACTTTTTTGATAATGGGCAACACTACCATTAATTTTTACCACATATTCATTGTGAATCATCAGCTAAACGAATACCTACGTTTTAAGATGAACAGGTAATTGATCATGTTCAGTCATTAATAACCATAAACGTTCTTTAATTGATAATTTTAATTGTGAATCAAGTGATGTCCATTTATATTTTATTGTTTCTTCAATACATTGTAAACCAAAATGTTTAACTAATGGATCAAATTGTTGATTCTTATTAAAAAAATCAAAACCAATTGATATTGATTGTGTTGGATTTGATTTAATTTCTTCAACAAATGTATATGCTTGTTGACGACGTATTGGATCTGATGATACACATGATAGAACAGCTGTTTCAATTTGACGTAAAAAATCGAGATTTGTCATTGATTCAAAAGACAACACAAAAATATAAGAATTTAAATAAAATATAAAAGAATTCTGCAATTAGAAATTTATGAATGAATCATCTTATGCGTATTTCAGTTATTTTTATTGGATTTCAATTTTCACCAATAAGAAATTTGTTGTTTGATAATACATAAGAAAATATTGATTGGATATTAAGATGAAAATCAGCTGTCTCTCTCTTTCGCTTTCATATTGACTGACTATTTGTTACGTTGAAGTCTTTATTTGTTTAGAATAAATGGAATGACTTTAGGAAAGATTGAATAAGATATTTCAGTACGAAAAAAAAATTATTTTTTTTCAATTTAGGTTTGACGACAGCCAAGAAAAAATATATAGACACAGCTGTTCGAACGATGTGATTAGTTTCCCACCTTGTTTTGATGTTTTTTTGCCATTATCTTTTATTTTAGATTTGTCTAGTTTATATCGACGAATATCTTCTTTTAATCAAGACGTTTCCTATTATAATCACGAAATTACTTTTAGAGTAAGGTCTCCTTGAAAAAGAATTATTTGATTAAAAAAAAAACATGAATAATAAGTATTTATTAGTTTTAAGCGTCAATTCTGAACATCGAAGTTTTTTTTTCTACCGCAAAGCTAATCGTCTGTTATAACAATCACCTTTCTCGTTTTCTATTTATGTATATGTATGTATATATATATATATATTTGATATAAAGCACGTAAATGTGATTATTTTTAACTATCTATATGTCTCTTATTATTTTGTGTATCTGTTTGAGGATGATATTTCGACAACGTATCTTTATAATGACGTCCTTGCTCGATCATTGACACAATTCGTTGTCGTAACTTTTTTTTTGTCAACGACAACGACAAAAAAAAAAGAAAACGAGAGAAGAAGATGCGTGAACCATCAACTGAAGGGCGTGTACACATGCGCGCCTATAACATTCGATCACTATCAAAAATGAGTTGATGGCGAGTGAGCAAATGAAAACCTTGAGAATGTTTTGCTTTTTATGTCTATTTTTCATCGACATTACTTTGATCAAAATTTATTGAGCAGATTATCGACTGAAAACAATACAGAAAAAAGAAAAAGAGATTCAGCTGAAAAATCAATGTCTTTCTTTGATATATGCGAATAAATATTATAGTTTGTATTCTTATGTGATCCTTTTACGAGATGTATCCCATTTACGGATGAATAGGATGACCCGTCTCGTTCTAATAAAAGGACATTTTATGATAAGGCCGTTCGCGTAATCGAGCAAGCTGTGCTGTTCTTCTTCTTTTTTTCTTTCTCTTTCTTTCGTAGTTTCTCGATTGATCTTCGCCAGATGATGTGCACATTTCTAACCCTTTCTATCACCAACCAATACTACTACTATTATTATAAGACAGATAGGACTGCTCCCCCCCCCCCCCTCCCCCCACAAAAAAAGATAGTATATCGTCTTACTAACAAACAAAGAATACATTACGTACACATAGCTTTTAAGGTCGTATTACTTATTTTTTTCCCCTTGCTACCAAGAGATAAAAACCATACAAACAGTTGAATTTCTCAAAAATAGGTTTTTTCCATGTAAACATGGAAATTCGACTTGCAGTCATATTTGAGTCATTTTTTTTCTTGCGAAAGGACACTCATTTCATTGCATGATTACGTTTAGTCTTGTCGTTCTCTTTCTTGTAGATCATTCGCGCACGCACACACATCACATATCATCTACTCAAGTCAAAGGTGTGTTACTTTTGCCTATATTGTTTTTTCGTTTTTTTTCGGAAATCTCTGACTTGATTTTCTAAGTTTCTTCTGTAAATATTACATATAGATGTTCACATATGAACTATTACCAATTATATAAATATTTTTTTTCCTTAAAAGATATGTTGATAAAATTCCATTAAAAAACAAAAAGACTCCAAACATATAAAGTTTTCCATGTAGAACATGTTTTTGTATTTTCGTTTAGATTTTCGACATCTTTTCCTCTTTTGTCTCTTATAATATTAAGACTGAAGACAGAACGACTATAAATGCGATATTGACATTAGGGTATGCGACGTACATGCACTTCATGCAGTCTTCTTTCTTCCTTTCTTTCTTTCTCGTATGAAAACGTTTACAAGCTGATGAAAAAAAAAAATCGAGTTGGCGACAATGACGAAAAGAAGAGAGGAAGAACACACACATAACAAGCACAGTAAAAGTGTGCAGGACCGATTTGCATGCCGATAAAAAAACTGAGTTGAAGGAAAAGAATAAGCAAAATATATATATTTAATAAATATATATATATATTTACGCATTCTTTCAGAAATCCAGACATATGTCGAATTAATCAAGATCGAATATAAATGGTAAAGAGATTATATGTAAGTGCTCTTGTAAAAAGAAAATTCAACAATAACAAATTTAAAACAAATTTGATTGAGAAATTTATTAGGAAAAGAAAATAATAATAGCCTTGATATTGTTTTTTTTTAATGTTATTTATATATTGGAGAGAGAAATGAAAAGTCGTTAAGTTGTTTCCTATTTTTGTATTGTATTGATGCGTCGTTGTATATCTGTATATGAAAGTTGTATGTACATATAACCATATACATATTCTTTCATGATACTTAATGAAGTGGGCGGGGTCGCATGGTCGACTCAAACTACTTTTTTTTTTCTTTTCCTTTTGTCTCTTTATCCTTTCTTAGCAAAACGACTAGAAACAGAAGGCAAAAGAAGAAGAGGTGAGAACGAAATAACAGTGTTGTTCTGTTTATCATTTTTATTGTTATCTTATACAGATGTGTAGCAATATGTTTTATTTTTCTTTAGCATCGTGTCTTTTCTTGCTATTAGTTTATATTATTCATTGACGAAATTGTGAATTTTAGAAACGTTTATAGATAATGCTCCTATACAAAATAGTGACAAGATCAATAGTACTGAAATAACAAAAAAACATATTCGTATTTGATAATTAATCACTGACAAATAGTCTATTCACTCAGGTGATTTTCTTTCTTATTTCATTGGTTACCAATATATTTGTCTAGTTATTTATTAAATTGAGCTGTTTTTTTTCTATAACATACGATATCATTAAAAGTAGTTTTTTTCCAAAACTAATTATAAAATACCTAGAAGCAAAACCTAAACATTTGTTCATGTAATTTTTTATTCAAGGTTTCTAAAGTAAGCTGTTTTGTTTTGTTTTATTTCTTTGACATTCTCAATAGAATTCTTATTAAGTAGATAAAATATGGACAATAGTTCTTGTTCTTCTTTGCTTTTTTTTTTTTCTCCCTCTCTTCTTGACAATGTATATATATGTATATATAATAACGACAACAGCAACAACATAAATCGTGCGTTTGATTGTTGTCTGTATTCTTTCGACGAACAACAGCAGCAGCAACACCTAACATATTACGAGAGGAAAGAAGGTAGAGGAAAGCAAAATGGCTAGAGAAAGGCAAGAAGAATCTGTCTTTCTCTCTTTTTTTTTTTCTTTACCCTATATGTGATGCTCGATGAGAACTGACGCACATCGCGTACGGCGGCTGACTGCCCTCTCTCTCTCTCTCTCTCTATTTCGAACACTACTGCATCTCCTATCCGTATGATTAGGTGAAAAAAAGAGAGTAAAAGAGACGATGCAATTTTTCTCTTATTCTATCATGTAGTCTTTTTTCTTCTTTTTATTCCTTTTGACTACCTTGAAAATATGATGACCATTATATGATGTTATTGTTATTTTAGCCATGGTGGTCGATATTGCCCCACAGCAACAGCTGACTGAGGTTTTCACCACTAATCATTGCCATCATCGATCATCATCATCGTCAACACATAGACGAAGTTCAACAACGACAAATAATACATCTTCATCGGCATCAAATAATACAACAATGACGAATGGACATCGATTTTTGGTAAGATTTTTTTTCTCTTTTGAATTTATTATCATCTTTTTATTGCTTGCTTCTTTTTTTTTATTAGTCTGATGAACTTGGCAAAAAAGCTGAACAAATTCTTGGACATGCAACGGCTATTTTAGATTGTCGTAGACAATCAAGTATAGATTTTCATACCCAACATCCTCCTCGATTAAATATTACGTAAATATCTTGTTTTTCTCAAGAAGAAAAAAAATGTATTTGTTTATATTTGTAGTACATCAAAATCAAATATACCATCACGTACTAATATGTCAAACACGGCTTCTTCTACTACTGTAAATAATTCATTGATAACAACATCTAGTTCATCGACTAATACAGTTAATTCGGATAGTTCGATTGGAGTAAATTTTTTCGAATTCTTTTTTTTTCTTATTTTTATAAACATTATTTTATTTATTTAGAAAAATAAAAATTTGGTAAATGTTGAACAACTAGCTCCACTTATTTTACAAGTAAAATTTTATTCTTCAATATTTTATTACTCACTAAGAAAAAAAATATTTTTTTTTTAATAGCTAGTCGCTTCACCTAAATTTATGAAATTACCTGAAACAATATCTAGGCGTCAATCAAAACCAAGTAAGCTCTAAAGAAAACAAATTGATTAATGATTTTTTCATGTTTATTTTTAGAACCCATAGAAAATGTTATGGAAAGGTAATGAAATTATCGAAGAAAAAAAAAAACGCAACTAAAAATTAAATTTCTTCTTTGTCTATTTAGTCGTGAAATGACTCTTGCTTTACATCGAGAAAGTAGTCTTAACCTCAGTGATGATGAGAATGAAGAAGACGACGATGATAATATCAATAATCCAAATACAGTATTGACCGAAATAATCGACAATAAATTAGATAATAACAACTTAAATCAAAATAATAGTAATGATAATCATCTTCCTCATTCATATGAGAATCAAATGTAAATAATAAAATTTTTATTGAAAAAGAAAAAAAAAAAACTTCGTTCGTTTTTTTCTTTATTATAGTGAACCCCAACATTCCGGTATAAGTAGTAGTCCGTGTCAAGAAGATGGAGAC